TGTGGACAGGACATCTCCTGGATTCCATGTCACGCCTGGCAGCAAACAGGTCATTAGCAGCATACTGGCGAGGCCCGCAACGAAGCGTCCAAAAAAGATGGTATTTTTTTTTATAAAGACTGCCCCTTCCGAGAAAATAAAAGGATCAAGAGCACTGTAGTAATCAACTATATACTCTCTTTTGTAAAAACCAGACGATTTTGTCCATGTGCAAACTCCTGGTTCTACTCCTTGTTCCAGTACTTGCTCCAGTCCTTGTGGCTCCAGTCCTTGTTGTCCCAGTCCTTGTGGCTCCAGTCCTTGTTGTCCCAGTCATTGTGGTTCCAGTCCTGGTTCCAGTCCTGGTCCTGCCAGTCCTGGTTCCAGTCTTCAGGCCACTCCTGGTTACCGTCCTCGTTGCCCCCCTGGTTACCGTCCTCGTTGCCCTCCTGGTTACCGTCCTCGTTTTCACAGTCGTCTTCTGGTTCCTCAGGCTCCTTCGGAGGTTGCTCAGGCTCCTTCGGAGGTTGCTCAGGTTCCTTTGGAGGTTGCTCGGGTTCCTTTGGAGGTTCCTTGTCAGGTTGCTTTCCTGCCTGATACACGTCCGTATCGCTCCCCTTAGTCTGCTTGAGGACGTTATTTTGGTAATCGTTGTTATAATTGCCAGGAGGATCATAGTTGCACACAACATAGACGCCAAGCCCGCTGCACGACTTCTGTCCACATCCCACGTTCTCTGTGCCCTTCCACACGACCTGCGTGAAGTGGCCGGTATCCTTGGAGAAGCCTCCGTTGTCAAAGTTATACTTCTTTCGCTCGGATCCCCACATGTTGACAAAGCTGCCCCAGTCGCCAGCGGCAGAGTTGACCGCGAGGTTCTCGCCGCCCTATAATTCATGGTTTTTTTTAGTATACGTGGCTGGTTAGGCAGGCAGGGCGCTTAGGGATAGGAAACCGGCGGCGCCAACTTACACCGTTACTGTGCTGGTATTTGCAATCATTGGCCCAGTTTTGAGCCTTGCTTGCGAGAGCATCGCTCCATTTGAGGTCATCTACGCCGTGCTGGCTGCGGAAGAAGTTATGCGCGGCGAGCATCTCGCCCTTAAAGTCGCCGCTTGGTGCCCTTTTCGCGGGTGCGGCCATGGCCATGCCAGTGGCCGTAAGGGTGGGAAGGATGCTGGAGAGACGCATTTTATGATAAATCGTGCCGAGAATAGGCGATAAGGTAAAAAGAATGTAAGCTGTTGGAAAGAAAGTAAATAGAAGGAGAGGCTTGAACAAGTAAGTTTGTTGAGATGGATCAGACCAAGGTAGGTGGTGGTTTATACATATATAGTATTTTCCTATCCTTTTCTCCCATGTATATACTAGGGTCTTTGGAGACAAGCATACGTAATTCTCACATGGGATATCTCAGCTAGGCCGCAGCTCCTTTATCCGGTCCTATCCAACCTGGAAATTAAGGATAGTTCTTCTCTACACGGCATATCCCAGCTCCATGTCTTCGTACATGGGATTCGCAAATCATGGTCGATCCGCGTTCATGTTCAAGATTCATGCGACCGGAATACTACCTTGCAGTTCTCCATGTAGTGATCAGCCATGAAATCCAACCTCGACCTTGCTTGGTGTGTGTATGTATGGGCCGTTCCTTTCATTCAATCTAACAAACAAATTGCGCAGGATTGTCAGCTATCAGGGTCCCAAAATTAAAGGGCATGGTGGAGTAGCATTGTGAATCAGATTTTGTCTGAAAATAACCCTGCAGTTTCAACGGTTCCAAACAAACATTGTTTCCACCACGGAGACTGCCAGAATCAGCAAATAGCTGCGTTATTTTTTCTGGGGAGCGCATGAATAACTCCACCCATTGACCCAAGTTTTCATCCCAACTTGCTGGCTGTACCCCGGAAGCCATGCACTCCATGTCCGCTAAGCTTTGACATGATTGGCCACCCGGAATGGCTCAATCATCAGACGATTCTGGCCAGTAGTAAATTATAGGGGGGGTGTCTGACCGTACGAGTACGGTACAGGGGGCTGTTGAACGGTGCGGGCAGCTATTAAACGGTGCAGAAAGTTGTTAAATAGTGTAAAAAGCTGCTGACGATACAGAAAGCTGCCAACGGTACAAGAAGCTACTAGTCGGTACAGGCACGGTCTAATTAATATAAAGAATTTATATATAAAAATTACTTATTAATTAATAATATAAATATATGTAATATATTATTAAATTAATATAAAAAAATAAAAAAAAGGCTAGCTAATTACCAGGACCCACTAGTAACACAATTAATCTCTTTGAAGCTCGAGCACCTTGCGGGGCCCCCGCTGCCCCACGGATTGTGGTGAACAAAGCCGGTACTGAGTATAAGTACATCAAAGGTGGGCAAGACGCTGTGCGCGAGTACGCAAGAATTAGGAATCATGAGTATGATATTGTCCGCGGTGAAACAATGATGATTGCATTGTTGCCATTCCTGGAAAATGTTGACCAACTGATTATCGGACATGGACGGAAGCAGCTTGGAGGTCATCATCAAGGACTTGCCGCAACTGTACGACAACTAGAGTCTACCAGTTGTTCCTATGCAACACCCCGATTTCTCGATTATGCAGCACATGGAATTCTATAACGGCCAATGGGAAAATGAGATGTCGCGCTGGAAATCAGAGTTCGCCACCATCCCGAAGCCACTGCCCGTTCTGCCACCTGCAAAGAAAATTATCCGCGCACCACTGGGAATATATTGACCGTAGCAACACGATTCGTCATTAGCCTCTCAAATTGGGAGTACTTGCAGAAGGACCAAAGTTCGCCCTTTCAACTTCTGCCTTGCAACGTTCAGGGTGCTTCTTGATCGACTCGCTGGTGGCAAGATCGCGGACATGTGCATTGGTATGGCGGACAGCGGGCGAAATAACCATCTGGATACCAACAGTGTCGGCGTCTTCCTAAATCTTTTACCTCTTCTCTGCCAGCAGCAACCTTCTGAGGTATTCAGGGATGCGCTAAATGAGACTCGGTCAAAGTGATCACTGCATTGGCGAATAGCAAGGTGCCATTTGACGTGCTTCTCAACGAGGTAAACCCGCCTAGAACATCTACTTCGAGCCCTTTGTTCCAAGCGTTTATTAACTACAGAGAAGGAGTCCAGGAGAGAAGACAGTTATGTGGATGCGATAGTGAAGCCATTCAATTCGACGCTAGCAAGACTGCCTATGACCTGAGCCTCGATATTCTCGGTAATGCAAAAAATGTCGTCAATTACCTTACTGGTCGGAGCGCTCTTGATAGTGATTCATAGGCTGAAATGATGGTACAAAGCTATGTTGTCCTCCTCAAAGCATTTGCAAAGAGTCCCCCGTTGCGGATCAACCGACCTTCACTCTACGATTCGCAAGCGACACGCGACGCATTAGTCTTCGGGAAAGGGCGAACCCAAGTAAGATCGTGGCCAGATACATTGATTCACAGAATTGAAGACATGGTCCAGGTCCATGGCGCAAAAACTGCATTGAAGGCTCGACAATCAAGGTTCACAAATAGCTAGAGGGCAGAAGGCACTAATGCCATCGGGGCAACTCTATTGTCAAACGGCCTTGAAAAATCGCGCATTGGAGTTCTGTAGCACACCAGGGTTGACTTTTACTGCAAATTATTGGCAATACTCCGCATAGGAGCTATCTATGTTCCCCTTGAACCCAGCTTGCCGTCTGCGAGGCTCTCTGACTTGGTAGAAGACAGCCGACTGGAGGCCGTCGTGTATATGACAAGGGTTCAATACAAAAGGCTTGGAGCTAAAGGGCTCAATTTAATAATAATCTGAAAGGGTCTCTAAGGTTATAAGTTACTATAAGAAAGAAAGAGAAGGGTAATTACCTTATATATACAAAAGAAATACCTAAGCATAGAGCTCTTACCTAGGGATATACTTAAGCTATAACTAATAAGTCCTATATTAGTAAAGCCCCTTTATTGGGCGTCACGATCTGTTGCGCCTTTTCCGTGTAACAGTGTATAACAAGCCTAACCAAACGACAATAACTTATTTGGAGTAAGGTTTCAAAAGAACCGATGCAACGGCACTGCAATTATCCTGTACACTAGCGGCTCGACCGGTAAGCCAAAGGGCATTTTATTGAGTCATGAATCATGGCGCAACCAAAGCGAGTCATCTTCCTCGCCGTGGAAGATTCGTGTGGGTGCTGGGTTACATTTTAAACATGTCACAAATATTTGCGGCTTTAGCAGATGCCGGCTCGGTTTTAATTCTTCCACTGAAACTCCGAGGGGCTTCCCTTGGAATTTCCAGGTTAATTGTTTCAGAAAGAGTCAGTCATGTGCAGGCTACGCCATCAGAACTGTCTAGCTGTAATAGATGGGTTTAGAAAGCTCTCTAAGAATGATCTGAAGATGGTTAATGCCTGCGGACCGGCCGAGGCTACACCAGCAGTTGGAAATCCTGAAGTCAGGTATATGACAGAATATGAGCTTGATACACCATTTGACCTATTCCCCAACTACTCCATTTATATCATGGATAGCCAACCCCATCCAGTCCCTGCAGGAATTCCTGGAGAAATTTATATCGGTGGAGCGGGTGTTGCTCTAGGGTATCTGAACCACGATGCGCTGACTAAAGAGAGATTCTTGCCAGACGACTTCGCGACACGAGTACACTTTGTATAATTGGACTACAATGCATAAAAATGGCCACTATAGCTATTTTACATTGGATGAGCACTTATTTCTAGATGGAAGAATCGACGACGACGCACAGATCAAGCTACCCGGAATCCACATTAATCGTCCAGCCATCAAATCAATCATAGTACAACAGCCAACGGAGCAATTGAGGACGCCATTATTTCTGTTCATGACTCTAATAGTACTGAGTAACTTATAGCCTACGTGGTTATGTCTGCAACATTTCAACGGGGAACCCCTTGTTTTCCTTGAGTGTCTGAGAACTTCCTTAGCAATCCCACAGTATATGCAGCCGGCAGTTCTGACCATGTTGGATCAATCAACAACTAACTACTCGGGAAAAGTCGATGGAAAGGCTATTTCAGAACTTCAATCTCATCCGAGAGAAACATTTAGCACGATAATGCCACAAGCCAACGGCTTAGTGGCGAAGTCAAGAGAAATATGGTTACAAATACTGGGTGACACGCCATCTTCCCTCCACATTATCGATTCAGATACAGATTTCTTTCATGTCGGCGGAAGCTCCAGGTCCCTGATCGAGCTGCATGCGGAGATTAACAAGGAATTCAATACTGACATGCCTCTGATACAATTGTTTGAAAACTCCACACTGGGTGCAATGGCTCGCCAGATTGATCCAGCAACAGGCTCGCTTCCAGCCAGCACGGGCCTTAGCTTTACAGTTCCCGCTCCTTCAAATAATCACGAGGAGCCTTCAACAGTACCCAAGTTGGACTGTATGTCAAGTCAAATCAACTGAGACCTGGAAACCAGCTTGACGGATGATCTCTACGACATCGACATGGACCCGCAGTCAAAGGATCAAGGCCTGCCATACAAGACGATAGTTGTCATGGGTGCAACAGGCTTCCTGAAAGGCTGATGCGCAGAATACTGAGCGACAAAGATACTCCGTATAGACAAGATTCATGCAATCGCTCTCCGACGGCGTCGATCCAACTTGCCGGCAATTTTCTCCGACCCGAAAGTACAACTGCATATGGGCGAACTCGACGCACTGCGACTTAGCCTGTCCAAACAAGCGGCCCAGGAGATAGTCAAGCTGTGTCTTCCCCAACGAATCCCGATGCACCTTATCCCGTCGGAAAATGTGGCGTACCTCTCCGGGCAGGCTTCGTTTGGTGAAGAGTCGGTTGCCGACTTCAAGCCACCGTGCGATAAATCCGATGGATATACGGCGACAAAATGGGCGAGTGAGCAGTTCTTGGAGCTTATAAGCGAGAAGCTCTTGATTCCCATCTGGATCTATCGGCCGAGTAGCATCGTAGGAGATGATGCTCCAGCCCCTGACTTGATGACAAATCTATCAAGTTTCTCAAGGCAACTTCATCTCCCGCTCGGCGGGGCACGTTTAGACTTTATTGGCGCGGAGCGAGTGTCAGCAGAGATTGTGGATGAGGTGAAACATGACAGCGCCTATCCCGGCGGACTAGTCAAATACATGTACGAAAGTGGAGACCTTGAGTTCGCCGTGGACAATATGAAAGGGTCTCTCGAGAGGCAAACGGGTGCAAGTTCCGAGATCCTTCGTCTGGAAGAGTGGACCAGGAGGGCAGCGGCGGCAGGATTGAATGAGATTGTCGCTGCTTGCCTGGCTAGAGCCGACGAGCTGCCTATTGTGTTCCCTAAGCTGCTGAGGCGGACCAGGCCTAAGATTGTTGAGGAGACTCTAACGACATATACATCGTCATTCTCGCTGAGGAATGTGGTAAGCCGGTGGTGGTCTGTCAAATGAAACAACCTGTTGGCTATGAAATATGGCAAACACTAATTGACAAGTTTCTGGGTGTGATGTAGGATTGCTGAATTGGGCTAAGCGGTAACAGGATGCGACGTGTCGAATGTCGTCAGTTGTAAAATATGGAGTATTCTGGAAGATAAACTAATAAAGAATGGCACAAGGACTTGGCAGATTTGTGTAGAACCCATGAATTTACTAAATTGTAGCGCAGTAATTATTTTGACTACCGTATTATAACAAGCCTTTATATTCTTCTACATCTAACCGTTTACGGGTGAACGCGAACCAAGAGCAAACTACCGAATTACGCGGAGATACGGGCTTGCCGCGGCAAAACTAATCTTTATATAGCTGAACAGACGCAATAAACTTTTTCGTGGCTTGAAGCTCTGTTGGGAGTCATACATACTAACCTATTTATACTTGTACCGTAGTATTTAGTTCGTTTCTAGATTTACCATCTTTAGATCCAGCAAGAGGGGATTTTGGTTGCGGGGCGGCAGTGCCGAACCGTCAACGGGTGCACGCTCGGAGCGGGAGTGTGGAGACTTTTCGGAGTAGGGTCTGGTGGGGCATCGGTATTCCGAACGCTCCATCAATTGATGTCTGGTCTGATTCGCCCATCCGGGCTACAGATGCTTCGCCTATACGCGGTAACAGAGCCGTCATTTGAGGCAGTCAATCAAAAAAGGATCCTTATTCGAGCGAACACCCAAACTCTAATTTTTGCCTCTTTCTCGAATTCATCGCCATTCACGACGAACCCAAATGTCAGAGCCAGAGGAACAAAAAAACTGGAAGGAGAAGCGTCGGAGGCTCTCCCCTCCGACGGACTCGAGGCCATTACCATTCGGAGCCGCAGTCACAGCCCAAGAAACGATACACGCTCCATCTTTGGTAGGCTTTTGGGTGGCTTTGTTTCACTGGCCTTATATCTGCCCTTGACGGTTCTATTCTACCAACATCCTTGCCGAGCATTATTGCTGATCTTCAAGGCGGAGATAACTTTAACCAAGTCGTCAGTATCTACTTCCTCACGAGGTATGTGGTTCTGGGAGTACTGAAATATGTTCTGGTATGTACCGAGAAACGACAAGAAGCGAGGGCTAACCGACAGATCCCAATAGTGCTATATTCCAACCACGTATGGCCAATTGGCAGATCTCCAGGGCCGCCGGTATGTCATGATACTAGCCACCGCAATCTTCCTTCTTGGTAGCGGCGTTTGCGGCGGTGCCAGCTCCATGGACATGCTCATTTGGGGACGCGTTGTACAGGGAATTGGCGGAGGGAGCATCAATATCCTGGTTGGTATGATCATCTGCGACCTTGTGCCGATGCGAGAGCGAGGCAACTTCATGGGCACAACATCCGGCCCTATCATCGGCGGAGCCTTAACAGATAACACCACGTGGAGATAGATCCTTTATATCAATTTGCCTCTTGGGGGGGTATCGTTGGTGCTGTTAGCGCCTTTCCTCCAGGTAAACTGGAAGAAGGACTTATCTACGGCAGATCGATTGCGGAGGATCAATGTTGTCGGCAATATGCTCCTCGTCTGCGCTACCTTCTCGATTTTGAGGGCATTGACATACGGAGGCACCATATACCAATGGGGTGAGAGCAACATCGTGATCCCCCTAGTCCTCGGCTTTGTTGGGTTTGGCATCTTTTTGTAGTGGGAAACGAGACGGTGGTACCCATATCCAGTCATGCCGCTGCATCATTTCCAGAGGCGGACCTCATCGGCCGCGTTCTTCATTTCTTTCCTGACCATGGTCATATCCTTCTGGGTCGTCTACATTTATCCTGTATTCTTCCAGTTGATGCTGGATTCGCCTACGCGTTCCGGGGTACACCTACTCCCCTTCTAAATGGTCTTTCCCGTCTTTGCGGCGGTTGGCGGAAGCATCGTGTCAAAAACGGGACCGTACAAGCCTGTTCACCTTGTGGCCATGGCTGCCGTCGCAATTTGCACTGGCTTCGCCAGTCTTCTCACCAAAAAATACGCACATGGCTGTCTGGGTTGTACTTCAGCTACTTGCAGCCTCATGTTCGGGTTGCATAATTTCTACCACACTCCAGGCAGTGCAGGTTGGTCTCCCGGAAAGTGAAGTAGCCTCAAGCATCGCATCGGGGTCCTTCATTCGCTTGCTAGGTACTACACCCCCAGCAGTGTTCTACAACCGATTCGATCAGCTAAGCAAGCAGTTTGACCCCAGCATCCGCGATAGTTTCACGCGAGGAAAAGCGTACGAGCATACCACTGCAGCTTTTGTGCAAGCATTCAACCCAGCTACTCCTAATGTTATAGTGAATGCGTATATGAACGCCCTCAAGAACGTCTGGCTTGTAAGTATTGCATTCGGAGTAATTACAGTATTGTCGGTTACCCCTCAATTGACCGTGGAGCCAAAAGGGTCAATCCGTATTGAACAAGTCTCTCGTGACTGTTCAATCTAGCACTGTACAGAGTCGCTACCATCAATCGCTACATATGTAGGTCTAGGTTCTAGCCTGAGACCATAACATCACATGTGCAATCAATTAATGCCGCCAAGCCGGCCGCAGGCACCCCCCGGGAGGGTCCCCGAGGGAGGGTCCCTGGAAGGCCCCCAGATAGTGTAATTCAAAGGTCGAGTTGATCTATTGAGTCATTCGCTCTGTCCTGAGAGCATAGCCTGGTTGATTTATCGCTATAAATGACGATACGAGGTGTATTGCCCATGAGCATAACGCCTAGCTGACTAGGACGTGGCGCCCTCTTTGTACCGGGGTTCGTTGGCAAGGAAGGTACCACGCCATTGACGACAGGAGTCATGTCGCCAGAACTGTCGGCTAACAGTAATGCTACAAGTCAGTACCAAGAATATTGGATTGGGATAACATGCTGAGCGGATTAAATGAGGCCCTGGTCCTTGGTTGCATTGATGGAATTGTGCTCTATTAAGCGGCCGCGCAATAGATAGTCGAATCGCCAAGAGCAAGGGGAGGTTTCGTGATCAGCCTGTTTTTTTTTTTCATGATTACAGAGTGTTGAGAACAGAGTGTTCCAACGCGGACAGAGCTTTCCGACATGGATAGAGTCTTTCTACGTCGAGAGGGTCTGACCTCTTCAAACTATAAGTAGTGTCGTAGTAACGCCATCAAGACTGTTTTTCTTTTTTCACCATCAGCGAATATCCTCATCGCCCCTCTTTATTCATTATCAATTTAACACAGTCATTTTTAAAACATCCCGGCCTATAGTCAACAACTATGAGGGCCTACCAGCTACTTTCTCTTTCGGCTATGCTCTCGTCTGCTGCCTCATGGGGCATTAAACGAGCGGCGCTGGAGCCAAACCTGGACCTCTCCGTTGATATAACGAATGATATCAATATTGACCCTGATATTATCGGCAAGGCTCTTTTCGAGATTATTCCCGATGAGAAGGCTAGAAACGAAGACAATCCCATCTCGCGTCGAGACGTCTTCAGCCGCCAGGAGCCAGGAAATCCCACTCTCAGGTCAGCGGAAGAAGTCTCCAAGATCAAAGCACCCGGGACAAGCAAGTCGGGAGTATTCTATCGCGGCGATTCTCGGCCTCCCGAAGAGATATTCAAGTCGGGCTTTAAGCCCCAAGGCGAGAATACGAACTTACAAAATCACCTTGATTTTAAGCCCAACTCTGGTCTTGTATCTGTCTCGCGATCGCGTGAGGCGACGTACGGGTACATGTTTGGTAGAAGCGCAGATAAAAACCCCAAGGGATACGTCTATGTCATTGCAGCCAAGGATATGCCCAATGGCTACTGGGTCCCAGGAATTCATCCCCCAGAAAAGAACGCTGCTGTGAGCCGTAACCAGGAGTTTGCCGTCAACGGTGCTATTCCAGCCACAAGCATCTCCCACGCCTTCGAGGTGACCCAGGCCAACCCCACCGATAAGGCGCGCAAGATTAAAAATGAAGCGTACTCGCTGAGGTCGGCTTCGAAATGCACCATAATGAAGAGGCGAGCAGGCGGTAGCTGTGACCCGGCTGGATGGGTCGACATTGAGAAAAATGAGCCTAAGAAGCCTGCTTCTGGAGACGGCGGCAAGGGCAAGAAACCCGTGGGACAAAAGATCTCGCAGAGCAAGTTCCTGCAATTCATCACCGAGCTAGAACCTAAATCCATTGGTGGCCTTATCAAGGTGCTCAAGGATGGCGAGGCCACTATTGCCGACGTGCAGCTAGGCTTCAAGCGGGCACTTTCAGAGGCCATGGATAACCGTTGGGCCGACTTTGGGGATTGGGACAAGGCAGCAGAATCGCTAAAGAATATTGTCGTTGATGTCGCCTCGACGGTCCGATATGCAACGCCGGCTGGCTACTGGTCCGACGTTATCAAGAGGCTCCCTGATATCGCAAAAGAAATCAGCAAGGGCAAGACACCTAAAGAGAAGCTAGAAATTGCCAATAAGAAAGTTAATGGTGCTGTTAATGCATGGGCATACACACCAGTTGGCTTCGTTAATGAGGCCTTGATGAGGGAGGCGGCTATGAGGACGCCTGCTGTGCAGGCTGTTGCGATTTCTATCAATAAGCTGTGGTCATATACCCCTCTGGGATGGCTTATTAACCAGATCGCGCCTATTGAGTCCTTGCGTAGGAAAATCAATGCTCGTGAGGAGGTGTTGAGCCTGGGATACTAGAACAGAGCCAACCATTCGCAGCGATGGCTGATGGCAATAAAGCAGCGGTCAGAAACTATGTATAACTCAAAGCACTCAAGTGCCATGAAGTATTCTGGTTATAACATTCCATAGGCCAATTTACATTACATTGTTGCCTATTTTTTCTGCGAGTCGTCGTCTAGTGATGTTGATGCCACTCAACACCTGACCCCTTGTACAAAAGCCTTCCGGAATTGCAGTGGCTCGTTTGACCACTTTTTCTACTTATTAGAGACTATAGCAGAGTGTAGTTAAATCGTAGGACTTGTTTTCGAATAGCATGACTTATGCGGCCTGCGTAGTCTGTCATCGCCTCCCACAAGCAAGGGCGTACCGCTTCTCCGGGGTAAAATAGCCGGAACAACACGAATCCGCATGAGGGTTATTCGGTGCACCTCGCACCTACGATCACGGCGCCGAAGCAAGCCTCTTGCACAACAGCAGAGCTAGGCACTGGTTCATCACGCTTGACTATCGTTGCCATCTCGTGTCCCCGAAGTTGAGTGGCGGTAGAACGAGACGAGAGTTTCTTACTCGTGTTAGGACACGTTAGGATCTTCAATCCAGGCGTTAAGCGCATCCTTCACCTTTTTTCCATTGTTCTCGGCGGAGGCTGAGACTTCAGCCTACGGTGCCATGCTTGCACCCGTATTTGTTATTTCGCAGAGCAACCTCGATTTTGCGGCCTGAACAATTTCCATTACACCAGTCTGGTCCTCTCTTCAAGGCTGCATACGGAGGCCTCAGTCAAGCCTGAGTCGTCGCACGATGCCCAGTTCTTCCAGTGCGCATGACTCAAGTCAGACACATCGCAGCAGTAATCTCTAATACCGCGGCGGCCAGCACTATCTCTGCAGAGCCGAGCACCACTGCTGTCCCGGCTAGAAGTGAGAGGCGTGTTGAACGTGCTGCTCCAGGCGTACCAGCAGTTTTGTCCCCACCAGACGTTAATGGCGCATTTATGCGCCTTGCCATCAATTGATACCTCTCACACCAGACTGGTGTCTGCATGTGGTCTAACGCCGGCGCTTGTGCCTGCATGTGAGTACATGTATCGTCAGTGGGGGCCTATAGGGGCCTGTGGCGGTGCGGCCACACCAGACCAGCAGTAACAAAAGCGGCAAGAAGCGCCGCGAGGTGCTAAAAGTACCCGGAAATTTAAGGCTACCGTTGGCAACTAAGTGGAATTGTCCACGTAGTTAGTCATCAAATTATAGGACAGCTATAAAAGTTTAAAATACTTAAAAAAAATTATAAAAAATCTAATAATATTAATATTAAGTTAATTTTAAAGTATTTTACTTTATAACTAAATAAATTTATATTAATAGTTCTACTTTTGTTGGTCTCATAAGGCGTTGGTGTTACTAGTAACAGTGTGCAATTCGTATCAATTCAAAGGCTAAGGAAAAGGAAGCTATTGCCCGCGTACAGCCCGGCATCGTGGCCTTTATAGATGGTGTTGTTGCCCTGGGTGACCCCTATCGTGGGCCGCCCCACAGGCCCGGCTGGTGGTGCCGGAACGGAACAACATTATTCCAACCAATCAGGGTGGTTGCAGGCCGGAGCAGATTGGTCCGACCGAACAACGCCACGTCATGGGCCAATAATTATCACAACAACTTTTATTTTTAAAAAAAAATAAATATTATAATTTTTATTTTTAAAATATGCTTTTTTATATATAGAAATATTAAAATTATATAAAAAACCTTAGCAGAATTTTAAGCTTTACTAGCAGCTATAATTCTGTATATTAGAAACTTGATATATTTGTATTATAATACTACGTATTAACTTTGCGAGACAAACCTGTGTGAGGCGGACCGAGACTTTGTTACCCAGGCTCCATCCACGTTGCTGGACTACTCCGCAGAGTCTGGTTGTTTGTAGGAAAATAGTCAAGCCCTCAAGCTTCTATAACAGCAGTCTTTTCACCTATAGGGTAGCCCGGTCGATGCCATTTATATCCGCCAGTCATTTGCCCCAAATGGGTAAACACTGTCCCATGGCCTCGGCGTCAATACGCAGGATAGATTTACACTGTCAAACGTTACAGTCGACATCAGGAAGTTTGCCTGGCCCTTCTCCTATTGGCTAGTTCGGGAACCAAGGTGGCTTCAAAAAAGACGGGCGGACTCCAGTCATTACTATCTGCCGAAGCCTGCTATAGCAAAACTATGAGTAGTAGTTTTTAACGTACCAGATATTCTTTATTTTTGGCTTACTAAACCGAAGATTTTTAATACAGGCAGTAAACGGCGCCCAATATATTTTTCATCCGTCTTGTTTATCGTCACAAATTTTTGACATTTATTCTCGTAACCAATCACGTCCCAGGACGCCTCTCGCACTAGGATAGAAGTCCCCATCACGTGCGGCGGCACTGCAACCTACAATTCGGCGCCCCGGACTTTTCTTCGACACCCAACACAAGACGAGCACTTGAGATATCAGAAGGAAGAATGAAGAAGCCAGAATGGCCAAATGAACACTGAATTTTTTGCCTGGATATCACAAGCAGCAGCCCTGAAGAGGGCAGGGCTTCGTTAGTGATAACTCGAACAACCCCATATTCGGAAACCGCGATGCCTCCTCTTGACGTGCCCATTTCAGCTGCGGCGTGTAGACGGTGTCGACATCACAAGGTAATGCAATAATTCGCGTCTTCTCGAGTACATGCCTCTGAAACTCTTTTCTCAGCTCAAATGCAGCCGCGAGCGCCCCGTATGCCTTCGTTGCAACAGACTACAGACAACATGCACGTACCCAGAGCTGGTAGACCGGCGCCGGGCAGGACGGACGCCTCGCTCACACCGCCGAGCGTCGAACCCAGCGCCCGGGGACGCTACTGTCGAAAGTACTGGCGACACGGATGCACAAATTGCAACTAGTGCGCCCTTGACAGGCTCCAACTTGGCTGACGACTCATTACTTTCCAGCCGACTGGCCCCAAACGCTGAACAAACCCCGTCCGACACAATTGTAGACATGCCGTCAGACGTATGTATACGGGTCCACTGAACATACTGAATACTCACTTAAACCTTTATATAGTCTTATGCTCGTCACTTGCGAAGTTGTGATTACGAATCACAAAGTATGAGAGCAAGCCATGGCCACGGGTTTAATCCCGATCCTTGCCACCTACCACCACGTACTGTGGGCCTTTGTTTGCTTGAAATCTACTTTGCTCGCATTTACAACGCCAACTTGCTCTTTTATAAACCCCTTCTTTTCCAAGAATATCTAGAGGACCAAGTTCCAGCTGTACTCCTCCAAGCCGTCTTTGCCTTGGCTTCTTTGTAGGGCACCTCGTCGCTTGCAAGGCCAGCAGGAGCTAATCATAGCGCCAGATTCCTTGCACCCAGAGACGAAGCAGATGACATATCCGCTGATTTCTCAGAGCTTCGGGCCTTCGCCACCTACCACTCTCGCAGCTTGCTTTGGGCAAAAGCCGCCACAAAAGAAGCAATGGCCGCCGTCATGGAAGCGCCGTCCCTACCGGCTGCCCAGGCTCTAGTCTGTCTGACCTTGTACTGGTTTGGTACCGGGGATTCCAAAAGTGCCGATTTATGTCTTGGTACGTGTGTATTGTCTCTCCTTGTTGATCTTTTCTGACGGGGCGTTGGGTAGTTTTGGCATACAGGTTCTGCACTGTTTGGAACTATAGAAGGCAGATTTCTGAAGGAGCTCAAAGCTTGGACACTTCACTCGAATCTGAACTGAAGCGTCGGTGCTTTTGGGCCTGCTGGGCATCCATGTGCATCGTGGCTGAACCTGAACCCATCTTCAAGGATGCTTGGTCCGAGGCAGCGTTGTTGCCGCTGCCGTCGGTGATATCCAACGGGCCGTCTGGCTGGCAAGTAACCATTGGGGAATACATGGACTCTGAATGGTCTTTAATGTCAGAATTCAATCAGCTAGAGCCCGGGAAAGAAGCTCCACCATCGGCTGCATTGATCAAAATGATTGGAATTTGGTAGGAGCAACGCTTTGGGCCTTTTCTTCAAGTGGCTAACATTGTCACAGGGCGAGAGTTCAACTTTTCGTCACCAAATCCATGCATTACTCATCTACCGAGAAAATGAATGCCCTCTCGAGTCTAGCGGCGCAAGCTACCTCTATGCGTCACAGCATTGTGCCTGGGCCGTATAGTAATTCGACGAGACGTGGGAAATTGGATAGCCGCCAGCAGTTCATGGTTATCGATGCCTTCTATTGTCTTTGTCACGTAGCTCTACACTCTACAATTGTGCCATTATTTTCCGGCTCGCCACTCGATCAACAAATAAGTGCCGAGGATGTGAGGCATAGCGCTCAGGCTGTGTTATACCATGCAGAGTCGTTTACTTCGTCGCTGGCTGACTGCTTTGGTGGAGAATTAGATGTTACATATCTGCCTCCGGTCGTGGGCTACGGTGCTTTTCTAACAGGCTCAGTGCTTCTGGCCTTTGAGATTTCATACCAAGACAAAGATGTGCGTCTCCAAAAGCACAGCAGAATGTCTGCCGTTCAGTCAATTGTTACAATGCTCGACACTCTATGTACTTATTGGAAATGTCTCAGACGCCCGGTAAGTCGTCCTTTGCTCGTTGTTGCTCAGAAAGATTTCTAAATCAGATCCTGTAGTGTGAAAAGCTCCGAAAGGCGGCCAATGCAGCAATGTGTCATGACCCGCGAGCAATACCTGCTGGACCACAAACAAGTTTCCACACACAATATGGCCCTCGCTCAACGGTACATGATAGGAGATATTCTGGAAACCCGTCCAGTCCGCGCCCGCCTTTGCATGGCGCGCCAGACGAGAGGCTGGCTCGACAGAACCCATCGGCATTGGTGCACAATGACGTGATGCAAACACATACACCTGACACTCAACGTTCTGATCAGGATCCGCAATATGCTGTTGGTAGCAGCATACCAAACACGTTACGAAGTGATGGCACTGCGTATATCACATCAATAGACGATGAGTGGTGGAACATGCCCTTTACCTCATATGGTGACTTTCTTGGTCTTGATCCAGTCAACCTCTTTCGTCAAGGCGATGACCCTTTCGGTTAGGGTGTCATGAAGCTTGGATAGGCTGATGGCGATTGTTCTTTGAAACATATTGACGCTGGACGTTTGTACACTACCGGGCTCTGTTTTTAAACTGTGGCTGAAAGGTTCCCGAGAAACATGACACGATACAATCCGGGGCAGCAACATCCAGGATTGGTTGCTCGAAATTATGCTCTCCACGCGTACATCTTGCACATGGTTTCTTCCACGAAATGAATATAGAGAATCACCTGAATACAATCTGCACACCTTCCAAACCACCTAGCTCCAGAGGTCAATCCACACAATCACTTACCGTACTTGCGACGACGGCACATGCTTAGTTACCAGTTACGTCCTTATACGGGTCTTAGCACGGGATCACTATTCTACTCTTCGAACCGCTGAAGTAACCAGATTCCCGAAGTAACCAGTGGAATATCACCTCTATCAGTCGCGCCCCAAAACCCTAATGACAGTGCGAGCTTGCGCCCTCGTGGACACTTATTTCCACAAACTCCTTCCCACACTCGAGCCTCTCAAAGAGCTCTCTGGGCAGCTCCTATGAGAATTGATCATCCGGAGCGTCCAGGACCAGAATTGGCGTTTTAATCTTGTCTACCAAGACCTTAAGCGTGTACCCCTTCACAATACGCAGGACATCTAAAAACCCACTTGCCATTTGAGATGCGCCATTTGAAACTCGTATTCACGGACACAAGCAAGCGCATAATCGCATTCATGTTACCGTCCCAGCCTGCCCATATAAAAAACTTGCCATGAGCGGGCGTTTTCTTGCGCAAAGCAGTGTCAAAGTCGTACACGCCATATGTGAAGATAACAGCCGGGGCACGAAGCTCGAATGCGGCGGCACGTCCAACCAAGTACACTCGCCCCAATATTAACGGCCAAGGATCACAACCTTTGTCTTGCCGACGTGTTCTTGATCGAGGGCGTGGTCAATCACTAGTTAATCACCTTCCACCAGTCCGATCGGAAGAATAGTCGCTGTTCGCGTACAGTCTCCCCTTGTCACGTCCATCGAAGGTCAGCGCATTGAAACCTAGCTCAAGCGCCGAGGTCGCAACTGCATAACGAAGTTCCCCCCTCGTAGAGTCAAAGTTTCCATTGGAAATGGTTGTCGGCCTTGGCGTTTCGCTCCTATCTGGTCGCAGGATGGTGGTTGGCAACGTGGTGTTTCATACGGTATGTCGACTCCCTCCGTAATATGTGGCATGAGGTCCATGGCCGAGTAGAACGTCTGGGTGTTCAAGTCTGCTAGACTTTTAGACACGGAGTCCTCGAAGGGATTGTTGCGACGGTAAAATTCGGCCATGCGGCAGTAATTTGAGGGGCAGAGATAGGCGTCCTGGGTTCGTTTCTCCTTTTAGGACTAATTTGGCATTTTTCATAGCACGGTCGGCGGCAGCTTTCCAATCTTGCAGACAGCTCTCCTCGTTGTCGGACTTGATTCGCGAACAATGGTAATTACTTCAGCGATGTCTTTGGCGCAGCCGGCTGCTCGGAGTGTCTCGTAGCCAAATGAGGGACTGCTGGGGAAGAAACGTCGTAGAAGATGCGCCAGTGCTGTTGGCAATTGATTTGGTCGCCATGGAGTGTCTGTGAAGTTGGCTGGGGAGAATTACTGTGCCATGCCTTGGTGGCTTCATAATTCGTGGAGCGGCATCGACTTGTCTCTCAAGCCTACACACAGGACATGTATCCCAAGGTCATGGCCTAAGCTGCGGCCTGATGTGAACAATCAATTGACCAATTCGGCGTGAATCAACTGGTGATCAAGAACGTCCGAATTGGATTTACCATCGGGTGAGGTTGTCGTTCGGGCCGAACGTGTTTTCTACGACGTCACCCGTTCGGGCCGTATCTCCACCATTTCCCTTTTTAGACTAGCCGGCAAGTTCTGCGACCCAATCGCAAACGGTGCCGTGCCAAATCAGCGACGATAGCACATTCGAAGGAGGTGTAACTGGTTGCTATATGGCCCTTATCTGCAAGCATTAGCAAAGGGTCCATTATAATGCGAAACGTTTGATGTAGGCCGAATCTTGGTTCCACTTGCCAATTGTTGCGACGTTGTCACTGCAGCATTTGTAATGTACGGCCCGAGGCATGACACAAACTATAAAGATAAGATGACTTGCAGAAATCTTGTCACTATACGGCAATTGAGTTACGGACCTGCGTCGCCTAGTGTGCCGTTCAAGTATAACAACTTTACATGTCATGTAACCCGATTCATCGTACATCCACCCACCAAAAAACTACCATCGTCCCCCGATGCAGGAAACACGAATAAATCAACCCAGCATGAGCAGAACAAGCAACAATTTGATACAAAAACCAGAAGGCTCCTCTTTCGAAGTGTCTTGGGACGGCGACAAAGACCCCTCAGATCCTCGCAACTTTACCAAACTGAAGAAATGGACCATTACATTCATAGTTTCCCACGTGAGTTTATGCGTGTAAGTTTTACCACTTCCCTTCAGAGAAATCTAGTCGACCCGTCTCTCAACTTGGCAGGACCTGTGCAAGCTCCATTTACACCTCCACATATGAGGGAATGGAAGCGCAATTCCACAACTCAAGAATTGTGTCAACACTCGGGCTTTCAACCTTCGTCTTGGGCATTTCTCTAGGCCCCATGCTTCTCAGCCCACTTAGCGAGCTCTACGGCCGACGACCAATTTACCTCGTGTCATGGAGCTTATACATCATCTTTCTCATACCACAGCTTGTCGCCAAGAATATTGCCACCATGCTCGTCTTTCGCTTCCTAGATGGCCTACTAGGTAGCACATTCCTCGCCGTATCTGGTGGAACCATTCGAGATTTATTCGCAAGTAAAGAAATAGGAGCGCCCATGGCCGTGTTTGCCGTCTCGCCATTCATTGGCCCCAGTCTCGGACCGTTGGTGGGCGGTTTCATTAATTATTACACAGACTGGCGCTGGACATACTATGTTTTAATGATTTGGTCCATCCCTGTGTGGTTGACGATTGTACTATTGGTTCCCGAAACATTTCGTAAGTCACAAGTACCAAAATGCATTTATCTATTCTAACTCGTGTATAGATTCAACGCTGCTGAAAAAGAAAGCGAAACAACTTCGCAAAACAACTGGCGACAATCGGTGGATAGCGCCCATGGAGCCAGTCGAAAAGTCCATAGCTCAAATAGTTGGCACGTCCCTCCTCCGGCCCTTTCAGCTCTTGATTTTTGAGCCCATGTGTCTCAGTCTTTCCGTCTTCTCTGCCATACTTCTGGGCATCTTGTATCTTTTCTTTGGCGCCTTCCCGCTTGTTTTTGGGGCAGTGTATCAATTTAAGCTGTATCAGACGGGTATCTCATTCTTGGGCATCATGTGCGGTATGCTGATACCAGCCGTCACCGGCCCGTTTTGGAACCGCATTGCCTCCATTCTCGACGTTAGGGACAAGGGGGAAAAAGACCAGGATGGGGAGGAGCCTGAGGGTAGACTACCGCCTGCCATTGTTGGTTCGTTCTTGGTGCCCGCTGGAATTTTCGTCTTCGGCTGGGCTGCGTATTCGAGGGTGCACTGGATGGTGCCTATAGTTGGATCCGCCATTTTCGGACTTGGGTGAGTGTAGACCAAGTTGATCTTACTTCCTACGACTATAATGCGAGCTCACGATGCTTCATTGCTGCATTCTATCCACGTAGCGACATGGAATTACTATTAAGCAGAATTTACCGTCTTCACAGTTGGGGAAAATTGAGACTAATAAACTGGAATGCAGGACCATGTTGGTATTTACCGGTATATTCACATTTCTTGTAAGTACATTGTGCTACCTCTGCATCGGAAAATATTAAGAAAAGGCGCTAAACGAAGTCCATAGGTCGACGCCTACCCCTTATATGCTGCGAGTGCATTAGCCGCCAACGCCTTTGTGCGTTGCCTGTTTGCCGGTGAGTCCCCCAACGCCCTGAGAATCTAAATACTTTATTCGTGGCGGCATTGGTCTGACTCTTCTCATGAACAGCCGCATTTCCCCTATTCGGAACGCAAATGTATGAGACGCTGGGAATTCAATGGGCTTCGTCGCTGTTGGCATTTCTTACCGTGGCAATGATACCATTTCCTTTTCTGTTCTTGATGCGTGGCAAACAAATACGAGCGAGAAGTCGCTTCGCTACTTCACTGGTATAGACCTGAATTTATATTGTTTGGATAGAGGACATTATGACAGGAAAAGTCAGGCTACGTGGGACCAACTCATGACAGGCCTGATTCCATTTCAGGATGCGTAATCTTAACGTATTTGAGATAGAGGTTCCTATGTCTGCTCTGGAGGTGTAATTCGAAATTCCAGCTTGAATGTATCCAAGTATTCAGTCTAGTTCAGCGCCAGATCTACTGGCATTCCGGGATGATGTTTAACCGCAACACTAGCTATCGCCCTAGTATATAACTGACTAGTCTAAAATGTTTAAATAATATTAGAGTAAAGAAAGTGAAATCCACTAATAGTTGACTTGACACTGAAATCCAGCTAGCTATTCAGCAAGCAGGTTGGTGTACAACATGTTGCGTCATTCCATTAACTGGAGCCACACTGTCAACGAAACTCAAGAGGGTATAATTTCTGTCCAATTATGGCATGTTCGGTTTATTACATGGGATGCAGTATACTGGGTCTGGGTGTCCAGATTGTTGGGTTAAAAATGTTCCGTCGAGGCTGCTGACATGTCAGAGTGGTTATCAGGTTAGACCACGAGGCCATAAGCAAAAAGGTCGTCCAGTAATAGCGGCCCTTGGCGGAATAGCTCCTATACCCAGCTAATAAGTATGCATGTCTTGTCTATCTTTCCATGTGGCTTCTGACACTACGATAGCTGCTTTCTTCCCAGGGCTTGAATTAAAGGCTACGATCCGGGTCTTCAGGGGGTCGACTGGGAATCAAATAGTCAGTCGTCTAGTCAAACTTGCAGGCTTTTCGAGGACCTCCAATCGTCAAGATTATCATATTTTCCACTATGCAATTTCGTGGTTACCATCACTGTTAAATCCAACATAATTATACTGCAAAAGCCAGCCAGTTGTTCGGCTAATTCTAAAGCGGGACAGTTTGAATTCGCCCTACCCCGTAAAGATATTCCAATTGTGTTGCTCTCATACCAAGGCGTTACCAGTGCTTGCACATTATCGTCTTTAGGTTACCTCTGTCAAGGATGTTTACTCGATGGAGCATCGACCACGTCCATACTCCATCCTTGAAAGATCTTGTCTGCTGACCAAATCTCGATATTTTCTGAATAAAACAAGCTTTCTGCCCTTCCAGGTATCGGCTCTGGTAATGTTACACGGAAGTCACGTTGTCATAAAGGCACGGGCCGAGCCTTGAACCCGACAACGGCTACACTGTTGAGGGTGGTCACGTGATGAGTTCAGACTCACGCGATGCCCACAGCATCACACACTCCCGGCTTGTTAGCATCGTAGCTAGTTCTCACAAGCACAAGCAATACAATTGATATTTGCTGTCAAATATCCATTATAACATACATGAGGGCTCGAGACCTAGTGGAAGCCTCAGACGCGCAGGCTCAATTACTCACCGCTGTTTGATATAAAAAAACGTGCATGCATAAACGATCGAGACATCGGGTTCAAGTGTATGCACAAACAACTTGATGACATTCAAATCTACGTTTGGCTTTGTGGGCTCCATTTTATGGTGTTGAGCCGGCTTACCTCAGCCGGCTCGCCATCCCTTTTGGGGCCCCACTCCGGTGGCTGCAACCAATCAAATACATACATCACTTCTGGTGCTGCAACCATTCCAACAAGAACCAAGGAAGGACCAGACCTTTAATATTGAAGCGAATTATTAGCCGGATGCGATATTGTCCTACGCCCTTCAACACAAGCCGTTCCATTTTGTCACAGCGAACAATCTTCTCTATAATAGCCAGTAAAGTCTCAGTCCACAAAATGTTTCGACATAATAAACAGCCGTGTGTGCATCTATGTAACAAGGCCTAATATTTAGGGGCTTAGAACAACAGTCGTATGCATCTAATACTTTGCTTTGATATCAAAGGTCCTTAGTTTTCCTTAAAGCCCTAAGAGCAAAAGACCGTTATTTATATCAAGAAGTGGTAAGGGACTTTACCCTAGGTCTCGTGATCCGAGCCCTTGTGTAACTATCGTCGGGATCAAGGTTTGGCCCGTGTCTTCATGGCAACGTGTCATCCGTGTAACAATTTAAATGCTGGGACCTTGAGAGAGAACCACCCAACGGAATGACCTGGCCTTTCCACGATAGATCTGGTCTGTGTCCCTGGCACACCGCTTCTCTCCGAGCAATTTCCGAAACCTTGTCGCGGCAATGGAGAGCAGTCTGGTTGACGCCTTGGGCATTGTAATAAGGGGCTTTATCTCAACCACTTCTTTCATGGAAAATGCAAACAGAACAACCGCAGCATGGATGCTTTCTCGAACATGGGATTCGTAAACAATGTGGCATTCAAACTCCGTTGTGTCAGGGGAGAGCACGTCAAGGCGTTTATCAGAGTGGTCCGTTCGGCAATGGGGGGGTTGTTCAAAACGCAAGAAGGGCACATCGCCCCGGAGCCCTCTTGTGACAAGGGGCAAAGGATTGGCGCAATACCTCAATTCATCTAATAATAGTATTTTGTATTAAGGCCCTTGGTTTTCCTCGAGGCCTCGTTAACTGAAAGGCTCTTGGAGTACAAGGTGTCGCGGGGGTCTTCGGTTCTTTGAGGTCCCGTGCTCGTATCCCTCCTGTAACCGTGTGGCATGGGGCCCCGATCCAGGTCTCCTGATGCCTCCTTTACGTGACCTCTGTTGGCTCGACGCCTTTGTTACGGCCTAACCGTGCAACACTCGACGTCTCGCTTACCAAATCCGACTTCATTGTAGTCGATGCAAAGGCGGTGGTCCTAACATATGATATGCATCGCAGGGGCTTCCATGGCTTCTAAATGCTAACAATCGTCGGCGTTTTAAATCGGATCAAGTAAGAAGTACAAAGACCTAGTCTGGAGCGTTTCGCCTATGCTGCGGTACTTGGGTGAGCCGCCGGCTCCGTGTACCAGATATCTTGACAAAGACTGGGTGTCACAATAAAAGTGTGCCGCACATGAAAATGAAAGGCGCACCACACATTGCAACATTCGACATCTGGGGCTATTTGTACCGCATCCTTTCACACCCAACCATTGAGGACAGCAAGACCGAATCGCTGGGAATCGGGGTGGGATGGGGAGCTGAGAGTGGCACGCATGAAGCTGCCAAAGAAGCTCAGTAGAAAACAATAAAGCACGAAGACTTATAAAAGAAGAAGAAAGGCAAGAACTACTGTGCAATGGCCGCCGTTAACGATCATGTGGACGTTTCTGACGCAGCTTACAACTGTTCGGACAAACATTCCCAGACATATGCGCCGTACCTGGTCCATCCAAGAACAAATAGAACTTACAACAAACATAACAGCTTATAAAATAAGACAAGGCGTAGACTAAAAAACCCAGTTCATCGTCTCGCCTTCATAAATGCCGACAGTTGCAGCTACCGACACTACCAATCCTTCATTATCATCGACATCAAACTGCCAGCAACTACTCTCATCCAAGTAAATATTCCCTACACTGTCAATCTATACGCCGCAAAGTTCAAACATCACCAGCATTTTGCAAACCTCCGCCGAGTTGTCGCCGAAATGGCTTCAACCGAAGTGTAGGTGCTCATCCCCCGAAAAACTTAAGGCAAATAAAGATATCTAGGACGTGCTCTAACCTCTAGATTTAGGGAACGATGCGATTTCTGTTCACACAACGTTCCAGTCGCGTCCATGGCAAGCCACTTGCGCAATTGCACTCGGTTTTTTTTATCCGACTATTGGTGCCCACGCCGTTGGACCTGCCGTCGATGTAAAAGACAGTATGACAATCTGGGTAATGCAGTTCTTCATTTAGATCGCTGCTGTTGTTCGGAGTGTGGCGGGCCCATGGTGACGAATCCCTGCTCAGCGGAAAATCACATAATATCCGCGAAAGGGAAAGAAGGGAAAGAAGGCTTGAAGCCTGAGGATATCATCATTGGTAAATCGGTTCAATACCGAACTGGAATGCAGTAAGCTAGGTGGCTTACTACCTATCGAGTGCAATGTGTGCACTGAATGTGTGGGAGGATGGCCGGCAACGGTAGCGATAACGCTACGATCCCGGCCCGGAGACATGGTTGGATCTGGGAGAGCAGGTTTTTTTCCCCATTCTAAGGGTTTTCCTCACTCTAACTAGACAAATAAGTAGCGTGTTTGAATTCAAATGTTTACGATTTGCACACCAAGTGGCTCGAACTAAGGACGGCGGTTGGGTTTTTAATCAGTTAGGATATTAATTTGGGAGGGAGGTGAATCGACTTGCAGCTCTATTCAGGAAGAAGCACTTCCATAATGAGCCCTATCTTCTTTTCGAAATCGGGGTGGGAGGGGGAGCTGTGACTTTGTCTCCTTAGCTTCCGCAGTAGCACACCCATGAAGCTGCCAAAGAAGCTCAGTGGAAAATAATAAAGCACGCAGACTTGTAAAAAAAGAAAAACTAAAAGATTCATTATGGAATAGTTACTGTTAACGATTATGCGGATGTTCATGACGCAGCCTGTGATTGTTCCAAGAATCATTCACAAACAGCTTAAACTTATAACCAATACAGCAGTGTATGAAATAAAGCAAATGGTTCATTGAAGCAGCCTCTCTATCTTCTTCACTATATAAAGGCCGACAGCTGCCGCTACCGAAGCAATCCATTGCTCATCCTCATCCACGAAAACAACCAGCAGCTACTCTCATCGCAGCAGTTATTCCCCACGCGGTCGGCCTATACACTACAAAGTTCAAATATCGCCATCACTCTGCAAGAACACCCTCGAGTTATCATCACCATGGGAAGGAAGTAAGTGCTTATCTCTCGTGAAATTCGGGAAGAAAGAGATCGGAGACATGCACTAACCACTGAGTTTAGAAAACCTTGCGAGCAATGTGGATCCGAATTTAAAGGAAGGAGGGACAGGCACAAGATAAAATGCACCCGATTTTTATTCGATCCTGAATCCAAAATGTTTTTGTGCCGTCGATGCCTAGTTGAATTTGCAACCATGGAAGGCGCAGAAGATCATAGGGGAAAATGCATATGTGAATGGTGTAAATTTCCTTTGAGCAAAAAGCCTGTGGAACGTTGTGAGTGCGCTTATGACGACAATGGAAACAAGGCGCCGCCGCGTCCAGGATGTGCCCGGTGTCCCGGGACCGGGGAAAAGGAATGCTCATCGGACTCTCACTACATCAGCTATTTCGGAAAGACAAGAGAACCAATTTGTTTCTGGGGTCGTCCCCTCAGCGAAATCATGAAGGCAGGGGGGCACTTGGATGTAGGAGAGAATAACCACATGCAGCAATAATGACGAATATGCTACTATGCGGGTCGGGAGATAGGCGGGGATCTAGGAGAGGAGGTGAGGTTTTTTTTCCCATTTAAAGGGTTTTCCTCACTCGGAATAGACGGTTAAGTAGGGTATCTAAATACAAATAATTACAATTTGCACACTGAGCGGCTCGAACCGAGCACGGTGCTTGCCTTTGCTTTCAGAGATTGGTTCCTGCCATGCTAAATTGATAATTTCCCGGACAAGGCGGTCTAATAGTTTGGCGATTACGAAACTAGAGGCTTCGCTTGCGTCTTTCATATAAAATGCGTAACCTCGGTTGATGACAGAGGCTTGCTATGTCTTCTTTCTTGTATTTATCACAGTATATATAATTAAGTTGCGTGAATAAAAGAATAAATAAAAAAATATGAGCCAGATAATCATGCGACACATCTGGCCACAGTATATCTTGGCCGTGTTAAGGCCAGGGAACCGCAACTGACCACGCAAGTCACACGATGTATAAGGGCGAGGTCCCTAGGATCTGATTGAATTAACTCAAAGACTTCTCTCGGAGGTTGTAGAAAATAAATATAACTATTCTTTTACCCACTTATGTTCAAAACGGGCCATTGTATATCCTCATAGTACTAATGTCGCAAGCTCGCCGTAGCGTTGGACAAAGGGTCATTGGGTGAATGGAAAACACCAACTATCGACTATTATGGAACTGGTAGCCGCTCCTACAAAGCCAACCTTAGAGCGTTAATTGAACATCTACCGAATACACAGGTTTCCTATCACTTTAATTTCTGTCCACATTCACGCATCCTCCTGCTCTCGCGATAGTCTTGCCTGCCGCGTTAATGCTGTCCTCACTGTGACAAGGGCAGGATCACTGGGCGTGGAATAGAGGACTTAATTTAAACTATAATAATTAACTTTAAGTTATTAAAGGTCCTTGGGTTTCTACGAGGCCCTAAGGGGCGGGAGGCCCCTATAAATACAAGAAGTCAGTAAGGGCTTATGCCCGAGGCAGCCCTCGCTCGTGGTCTGACACCGGGCTCTCGTAACACCTTTCTTTGTTGTTGTTGTTGTGTAACCTTTACAGTCTGATACCTCTGTTCAGGTCTTGACCGTGTGACAGTCACAGATCTTTATGTTCTAAGATTCCCTGTTACTGCCACATGATCAGTTTACGCTACTGGCACGTGCGATTAGCAGCGTCTTATGTTCGACTAGTGGGCAGAATTTAATGCAGCACGACTTGCAGAAAGGCCGTTTCATAGAGGGAGCTATGACTGTCGCAACCTTGATCACGCCACATCGACCGGACAAAGAATCGACAAAGAATAAAAGCAGCCATCCCGGGTCACAGACCACAGCCGTGAAGGAGAGCTTGGTCAAGCAGCGCGCACAGCTTTCTGAGAGTGGTAGGTGCGGCGGTTGTGGCGGCACGATGAAACTAGGTGTTGCAGAAACACAAAGGCTGTTGAAGATCAAGGGCGGTCTTGACACCGACTGAACTACCCAGTCTACTACGACTACATGTCTTGAGCAGAACATGTACATCTAAGACTTAACATGTGTGCTCTTTAGTGTCTTTGTGAGGTAGGGCAGTGAATTCATGGTAGGACAAAGCCTCACTTCCTTCACTGAAACAGCATGCCAACTTTATGGTCTTGACTAGGCAGTGCACTGGCAAAAACAAACCCTGTGCACCTAGGCCTTTGACACCTGCGTAGTGTAGTGAATCCAGGTTTCATGCTCTATTTAAAGGGCCATGTGCTCCCTCCCTCCCTTTTCGCGGGTCCCTAGGCTTTTCTACTCAGCAACATCCAAAGCTCCATCCTCTCAAGAGACAATTACAATACCACCCATCAAGGCCCTCATAATGGCAGAGCAACAACAAAATGCAGCTGGGTATGTTCCTTGAGCTTCGCACTATGCATCATGCCATCACTAATACAAAAGCAACTACTAGGAACGATGCGACTAACCAGACGTCTGCTCGAGGACGTGGCCGGTTGGATTCTCGTATCCAGGTTTTCGACTATAAGAAGACTTCTCGTCAAGAATACGAGGTCACATGTCCGATATGTTCTTCGAAAAGGTCCACTTTTTCTGAACTGTTTGACCACATGTCGAGTTGTCACACATGTCGTTGCTGCGAGAAGTCACTTATAGAGAGTCTCGAATTGAAGCCTTGTCCTTTCTGCGATTTATCTACGCGGCAATCATGCGATCGTTGTTGGGGTCAGAACTCGGCGGTGTGTGAGGATAAGGACAAGCTTCACTATAGCATACGAGAGGCGTATGAAGTGGTGCAACTGCTCCAACAACCCAAGACCACTTGAGCTTTGCACGTTTGGCTATTACCTTCAATATGCATGGCAGAGTTTCCAGGTGTGGCTATCCGATAGGGTACGGAAAACAAATCAAGACGACGTGCTTCCTGGACAACTCATTTCATCCGCGTACTCTTCGAACCGGATACGGATACGAAAATAGCGGAGGAGAAATGCCCATGCAAGGCGGGGGGGGGCGGGAATTGAGGCTTCAAATGTTACCTACGTTTGCTTTCTTACACTACACTCTTTATATTGCTTTTTTTGTCAAGGGTATCTATAAGTATGCGCTTCGGCTTGCATGTAGATACCCTTTCATTTGTTGACTTGTTTTTTGTTATTTTCCTAGCCTTTAGTTTTAGTATGAAACTAGCTGATTAATTCAACATGATCAGCTCTAGCTTGATTATATTACGGCTGGAAAAAACTTCCTCTTATGAATGTTCCTAATTTGTCAACATGTTCACTCGAGTGGGCTAGCTTTATTCAGAATCGCATGTCCGTCTTTTTGGCTTTCTTTCTTGATGTAATCGCATCAACACGCACATCCTCTTGCAATGAAGAACGAACCAGCCTCTCTGGGCCTCAACAGCCCTATGAACGAATCTTGGGTATATTATGATCCTTCTCTCTCATGTTGCCACCCCGATATACCAGTAGTATCGTAAGAGGAATCGTGGCCAGCGAGACGAATGCCAACAGGCTGTTGCCCCAACCATATCCCAGCGTCGCATACATGTCCAAACCAGCAAGCGGTAGGACAGCGCCAAGAATGCTGCGCAACAAGTTGTTGGCCGCCAATGCGGATGTTGAGTGGTGGTCAAAGGCACGGATCAGATATACTTGGACAGGCATGAAAACAGCCATAATGGCAAAACCAAACACACCAAGACCGATCAGTGGCACAAGCCAGAAACTTTTCGCTTCCACCGACCACCCATACCAGAACAACCCGGCCGGGACAAGAATGCCGGCCGGGATAAGCAGCCAGAGCACTTTCTCCGGGGCAGATTGTGTGTCTATGCTGGCTTTTTTCTTTGCTATTTTGTCCATTGCCATGGCGGTTGCGAAGACTCCTAGAAGACACATCAAGATTTGCCGTCAGCGATATCATGCAAACGTGGGTTAAGCTAGATGTTCACAACCGTTTCGCCATTTAACGGAACAAGGTTGAGAAACTCACCAGCAATCGCACCGATTCCGTCACCGAGATAGGTGAGACCCGCTGAGCCCGCTGAAAATTGGTATCGCTGCTCAAATACCAGTGCCAGGGTGGTGAAAACGAGATATTGAACTCCATATACGATAGCTACCTCCCACGATAATATAAAGACAATTGGGGACGTGACTAGAAACTGTAGTGGGCGTACTAAAGCTTCCTTGAAAGCTGGTGTCCGACTTGTGTTGGAGTCTAAGCAGTATCTGTATCGCGAATCTCCCGTCTCTCTACGCAGACGTCTTGCCTTGCGCGACAGTAAAATCGGCGCGTAAGTTTCTCGAAGAATGAACAGTGATGGGACAGCAATTGCTCCATACTAACAGTGGTTGAATAAGTCAGCGTTTCTTTCCCGATGACGCACCAGACATTTCATAACTTCCTATACGAACCAGAATGGTGTTCAGCCACAAGACCCATCTCCATCCTGCGTACTCACTCAAATAGCCTCCAATCACGGGGGCGATAAGCTGCAGAACTTGTCAGCTTGTGTATTTTGCTCGTCTATGATTCCACTCACAGGTGCGATCAAAGATCCTATAGCTATACTTCCAGTCGCTTTACCCATACTCGAGGGTGGCATGAGATCACCGATAGACCCGCCAAGCAAAGCGGCAGGTGTAATTCCTACGCAGCCAGAGAAAAAGCGGAAGGCGATAAACATGCCAATATTACTACTCGCGGCGGAGGCGGAGGTGAAGGCGAGGAATAAGAGGCTGGAAATATGGTACACAATGATTCTTCCGTACATTTCTGATAGTGGTGCAGTGATGAGTGGTCCCAAGGCAAAGCCTACAACATATATCGACAGCGATAGCGAGGTTAACGCAGAGTTGTGAGTGTCGAGATCAGACACCAAACTTGAGAGGGCTGGTGCGAGCATAGAGGAGGACAAGCATCTACAATACAGTGACATACGAAGGTAAGTATGCAACCAATGCCTGGAAACTGGAAACTTGCACGTGTCTCCAAATGAGTCAGATCAAGAGACGAAGACCTACGTGACAAAGTTCAACAAGCCAAGGATGGTCAACTGAACCCATCGCGACCGTGCGGACCAGTTTTTGGGATTTGACACATCGCCATGTCCATTCCATGCAACATTGTATGGATCGGTCTCCGCCTCTGTTGTGCGAGCATGGACGGTCTTCTTCTCTTGGGCCTGGTCTTGAGCGAGGATGGTTTGCGCGGCATGCGGATCGGGTGAGAGAGTTGGCTCAGTCATTGCCAACGTTTAGCAGCGGCAGTCTGTCTCATGAGAAACGAATGACTTTAAGCTGAGGAGGCTGACGATGGCCATTCAGAGACAATTGTTGAAGTGACGCACCGACTGGTAGACGACCGGGATGACTCCATCGTTTTCATCTCAAGGCATGTTGGCCGCGCTGACCAGAGATTTTGCGCCTCATGGCTGCATATCGACTCCCAACGCAGTTCAATGCTAGCTTCCCTTTCTGGACGACCATCTGCAGTGGCGTCCGGTGGCCATGTGAGCATCAATGATGCCCCGACCCCCAGATGCATACTGGGTGCGTGTGCGCAAGCGTCAACTCCAGTCTGTCTCGGCGCATTCCATACTCAGCCATGGCGCCCCCCTTAACCCGCCTGTCATGCTGGTTGGTTCAACACATGTTGTTGTGAGTCAACTTGTGCACACCACACGGACTGTGAAATGCCCGAAAAGAGTCAAGTCGACGTCTGGTCAATTGGATGAAGTTGATTGACTTGACATGAAGGAGGGGGTGGCTGTGCCGTGCCGTGCCGTCGATGGGCCAATCTGGTACCCCCAGCCGGCCTCCTCCAATGTTGTCTGGTCAATGCAATGTTCAAAGTCAGAGTTGCGCATGCTCGCTGCAAAAGGTCGCCACGTACGGAGTCAATCAAATAGTAAATTGACGTGCTGGGTCCTTGTTGATGACAAGCCAGGCATCAATGGCCACACGTTGCGCGTGGCCCTGTGCTGTTTCGTCAACCGAATCGTTGATTCGGTCCATCTGGACCGTCTTGCTCGGACACACGTCCCTCGTGGATTTCGGCCAAGCCAATGTTCCCTTTTTTTTTTTGAACCACGTAGCTTTCACAAAGCCTACATGGGACATTGATGTTTTCTTCGAATCTTACCAGACACCACAGATTCCGCCATGGCCACAACGCACGACTCGGTCCACGAGGCCAGGGCCGAAACGACACCACTCCTAGGACAGTCAACATGTCGCGAATACAATCAAGAAGATGAGCAGACATCAAACATCAGCGCCAGAACAGTCCTGATATTGGTCGGCATCTGCATCATCGCCATTGACTTTGGAAACTACTTGTCCTTCGCGCCTCAAATAGACATTCTGGAGCAAATTGTCTGCAGAAGACATGGCATTGCAAGACCAGGCGATGCGTCAGGCCCAGATTGCAAGGCGGATGGCATCCAAGCTGAGCTGGCCATCTTGGTCGGATGGATGGCCTTCTGCAACCAGGTTCCCGGCATCATCTTGGCTCTTCCGTACGGCTTCGCTGCAGACAGATTCGGCAGAAAACCTGTTTTACTGCTCAGCTTGATTGGCCTCATATTGGAAGAGATGGTAGTTCGATTCATACTTGGGACGAGCGATAGAATCCCTGCCGAGGCCATTTGGGCCGCGCCGCTATTGCAATTGATTGGAGGAGGACCTCAGATTGCAACATCCATGGCCTTCACCATCATAACAGATGTTTTTCCGGCTTCACAACGGTCGTCCATCTTTTTCAGGTTGTCGGCCATTATCTTGCTCGGCGAGCTTCTGGCAACTCCGTCTAGCGCTCTCGCAATGTCATGGACGCCTTGGTTTCCGTTTTTGGCCGGTGTCGCTTTCGAGTTCATCGGCCTTGCGGCTGCTTTTGCGCTCCCTGAAACGATGCCAGCACGTTCTCGGCGAGAAGCACCGTTGGAAGAGCGGCGTGCCTGGCCTGATGACCAACAAGGGACCCGAAAACACGTCTTTTCCATTCGGTCCTTGTTGCAAAAATGGTCGCTCTTCCGCGGTCATGGGATTAGTGCCAAAGTCATGATGAACATACTTCTAGTCACAGCATCATTTTTGATGGCAAGCATTGGAAGAGAGGCTCTGCAGTTTGTCGTCCAATATGCATCAAAGAAGTTCTCGTGGACTATTGCACAATCAAGCCTTCTAATAACTATCAAAGGCGTCATTAACTTATTGAGCCTCTTATTCCTGTTGCCTCGGTTCTCCTTTTTGATGTTGAAGCACATGTCAACCGTCAGAGCCGACCTTTTTCTCGTGCAGGGGAGCGTGTTTCTCTTGATGGTAGGCACGGCCATCATGGCTCTTTCGCAGCAATCTGAAACTTTCACGGCAGGAGTCGTCAGTTTTGCCTTTGGCTGGGGCTATTATGCGGCACTCCGCAGCCTGGCAACCTCTCTGGTTTTGCCGTCACAAGCTGGAGCTCTCAACACGGCCATCGCTTTGGCACAAAGCTTTGGCGCCATGGTATCCGGACCCGTCTTGGCTCTCTCTTTCCGTCGGGGCCTTGCCATGGGTGGAATTTGGGTAGGACTCCCATACATGGTCGCCTCAATTCTTTTCTCTGGGGCTGGCGGATTGGTCCTTTGTATCCGCCTGCCGCGACAGCTTGAGCGGACTCGGAATGGCTTAGAATGAACTTGACAGATTCAGATGCCAGTTCATGAAGCAAGTACGGATACAGAAACGAGTAGTAAAAGTGTACTTGGATGCAAGGACCCCGGTTTCGAGGCCATTACCTCTAGCTATGTATTACGACCGAGGCCAACTAACCAACGTTGTCCCTGGCACTGGGTGAAGATGGCTGCTTGTTTGTTTTGCTACGTTGAGGATACGAGGTAAGCGAATATAACGCTTGATATGACGCGGTCTTTGCCACAGCTGGAATAATTAATCATTCTACCTCTGCTTCAAGAAGTTGGTCCTGGCTACTCCGTACCTATGGTTTGAAAAGTTCTTGAACAGATGTTGGTCTATTTAATGCCCTCCGGTTTTGCTTGCCCAGTGCTGTAGGGGCATTCAATGTTCGGACCACGGAAGTTACCCGAAGGAAACATTCCATTGCCCAACGTTATTAGAGATGGATCATTATGATATGTTGGTTAATCCCCTAAGCGGCACGACTGTTGTTGGAAACGCCATTTCCTCAGCCTACTTCGTAAAACCTGTTGCAGCAAGCCATGCCGGTGACGCATTTGCTCTCCCAGCAATGGTGCACGAATCGTGCCAGGATTACTCACTCGCGTCACTAGCGAAGCGGTACGGGCAAGCGAAGTTTCAACGATCTAAACCGCAATAGTTAATGCATGCATATGCTGTTGGTAAGACCGCCTCCACGTGCAGTGACACGAGGAGGAAACACGGTACAGTAATAGAATCAATGGGTTAGGACGTTTTGTGAAAGGGAGTTTTGCTGTCGAATGAAGAACGGAGACACCGACAGAGACGTACTCGCACGGCCAACAAGCCGAGTTCTCTTTGCACGCAGCACAATGAGAGGATAAAGCTGCTAGCTTTACCTAATGGGGTCAAGTTTAAGTAGTGCAAGAGTATCTCATATCTCCCAGGTGAGGATTCGGCCAAAATGTTGAAATGATGTTTTTTCTCAATCAACCTCCGGCTTCAAATATTGACATGGAGCGAAGGCGTGAGCGTAACCGCGTCTCCAAACGCAGATCTCGTGCGTCAGACTTCGGCCTTGCCACCTCATCGTATTGACGATTATAAACAAGCTGATCTCTGGATGTAGGTGCGCGGCAACGCTCAAGTCTACCGGAAAATCTTCAAGTTGATGCTTTAAACATGCAACCTGACCGGGCCGAGTCAAATACGAGAGCCAACGAGGGGAATCAGCAGGCAAGTTGTCGGTCGCATGCCAAGTTGCTCCAGATGTCCTTCTTTTCCTGACGCGACGATCTTGAACTGCAGTTAGAAGCTCAGCCTACAATGCATCTGCTCGAGACAACTACACAAGACGGCGGGCGGAACCCGGTGGGCTCAGACACCGTTCTTAACGCGCCGCTCTACGATCTGGAAACCGCAATGAGTTCCGTCACTACAACGCACCACCAACATGGAGACTGCTCTGATATTTTTACTCCTTCCCAGGATGGGTTTGGAGACTACTCGACAGACTCTGGGCAAATAATCGGACAAACCGAGCAGCAATTCTTGGATTGCACTGATTTAGCAGGCCAAACACACTTGTCAATCTCGAGGAATAACTCGACGTTGCCTTCTTATTTTGAGGAAGAACTTCTCCCATCCGAGGTGCGTATCCTTTTGATCGATTTGTTTGTTTTTCTTTTTCTTTTTCTTTTTCTTCTTTATTTCATACCACGCAGCAAACTAGCATAGACCAAGTACAGCCGAGCGTCAGCTGGATTGCGGTGCTCATCATCACTGCAATCGAGTTGGCTAACATAGTACATGTCTAGGCCTCCTCAACTTGTTTCCTCGAGCCCTGCGACTACACGAAAAGCAGCATGGAAAGTAGAGTTTCCCGTCAAGTTTCTTCCAACATGCTGCTAATGACATTGAAGGGGGGTTCAGTGGTGATCGCGCGTTTGCTTATTCTGAACGGTGCAGATGTCAATACCCCGGACAAGACCGGCTCTTTCCCTATTCACTTGGCTGTGCAATACAGGAGAACTTCAATGGTAGAGTTGCTATTGAGCTATGGCGCAGATATCAATGCAACTGATTCATCGGGCACAACACCACTAGAGTTGGCAGTCATGTCACAGGACGAAGTATTAGTGCAGAGCCTCCTCGCACGGGGGGCGAAAATATCTTGATTCCTGCTAATAGCTAGTACACTTATTACTGCGAAACATTGTCAGAGTGTCAGTAGTTGACTATTTGGCCCTGGCAAGCAAAGCTAGAATAGACACTTTTGTAATTGCGCGGTCAGTTCCTTTTCTTCTCAATCATGAAATCCTGGCAATTATGGCTTTCCCCATCTGGTCCGATAATATTGTAATCTTCTGGGGCATATCCCTGGCCCGCTGCATAGGTATATCGAGTCAGTATCTCTTGGGAAGCTGGTACGAAGTACAATGCGTACAGTATAAGAAATAAACCTACACCAAATTGGGAATTTTGCCAACTCTGTATAATTATTCTCGGCAGCATACCTGCGAGCTGCACTTGCGGTCCCTTTAGGCATGTAAATCGACCGATGGATACCCTGATCGTCTGTATAATCGTATCTGTTCGTATCCGCTGCGAGTGTATAGCCAGCTGGGAGTTTCTCTCCCGTGATGGGGTGGAAAACTGGTGGCATTTGGGGTTTTTGAGGCGGTCGCGTTGACGAGAATGACTTGCCGCTCTCTTCTGTGTTGGAAGTCATGTTGTTCAAGCCGCGAAATTCCCTATTTAGCCACGACAGAGCGACTTGTTGCATCCGTTCGTGTAGTCACACAGGATATGAGGACTCTTTTTCAACCCAACAGCACGCCAAGGAGCTGATGACAGGAAGAGCAAATCAACTGAGGGTGGTATTTCTTGTGAGTCTGTGCTCATGAAATCCGGAGCACTTCTTCGTAGTCGTTGAGGACGTTTGACTTGATGTGGACGACCAAGGCAGCGCTGAGGATGTGACTGAAGAGCGCTGCTTACTTGGTTGCCTGGTGAGGGGGAATGCGGAGGGCCAACCAACCGTAACGTCAATCATCGATGAAATGGTGGCACGGGTCACTTGCAAAGTGTCAACGGCGCACTCGCAGGGTATCTGGGTACATGTAGGGCAACATTCTCCACGGTCAACGGTAGCCTGCATGGCCACTGTCACCTGCAGGGTCAACATGCATCGCGCCGATTATCGTGTAGTCCGGTGGAGGGAACAGTTGTAGGATCAAAGTGTTGCAGCTCCCAGGACACTTGGTTTGAGCCATTATAATTTACAATTCATTAAATTATATCCAGATCGCTTCCAGCTTCTGTTGTTGAGAGTCAAGTCATTCGCTTAACTTGGTCTTGGTCATCGCCTAGCATGCCCCATCCCACTTGACATCTTACATATCAATCCTTAGTACTGTTTTGAACATCATCATGGTTTCCTTCATTTGGAAAATATTGTGGCTCAATGTTATCGTCACCATTCCGGCCATATCTGGCAAAAGAATTTCATTTTATAACGGCGGTGGATGCTCAGGAAGCCCGATGACTTGTGAGAACATGAGTGCGGGAAGCTGCTGTCAGTCAGCTGCGCCGTTTTGCGCCTTCGCAGAGTGTGTCGACTGTCGAGTTGGCAATGACGTCTACACATACAATCAGGCCAGATGTCACATCGGCTCGCTCAATGCCTGCCGCATCGGCGCCGATGCTGAGTGCTGTCTAGGTGCTGGGGGCGGAGCAACTTGCGCCGCCAATTGGTTTCTCGGCTCCGGGCCTGCATTCAAAATCGTCGGAACAGGATTCCCAGACTCAAAGAAGACTTTCGGCCGAAATGTCAACCAGAGTCCGCCATTGGATTGCGGTGCTGTGGTTGAGCCTAACCATTACAGGTTCATGGACAGCAATGGTGCGAGACATGATATCTACTTGCCAAAGGGAACCTTCCAATCTGCAGTAGCATACGTAATGAATGGAAACCTTGACGAACTCATCAAGTTCCCAGTGTGGGGTGAGTTGAGTTTCATCTTTGATGTCATTTTGCGCCTCATACAAGTGTGTAGACTACTAACATAATTTACGTTGTGATTAGCTGACCAACACTATGCTGCGGACGACTGTGTCAGGGTTAAGAACGAGGATACTGTTATTGAAAAGTAATCAAACTTGACCGTTTCTCATCAGGGGACAACCATTTTTCAATGAAAAATGAGTGGACTTGAGTGCATAGCGATGCATTAGCATGGAGATAATGCCAAGACAATTCCCGTTCTTCAAACTGTGCTGCAAGCGACGATTCTCTCCTTACGGTCCTCGGACCGGGTATAAGAAACTTGATCATTAGTGACTTGATTTCCAGTAGAATACATTGCCAAGCATTACTTGCTTCAGACGGGTATTTAAATTATTAATCCCTCCGCCCCCCAAAAACCCTGATGTTTATCTAGCACGGAGTTACAAAACGCACAATGTCAACGGTCTCGCCTCTCCATTCTGTCAACTGGCCTTGTCCTCTCCCACTCAGACACCCAATGCACCATACAATCCAGCAATGCACGAGATTCATTCACTCTGTTTCCCAATGAGGGTGTGGAAATCTCCAGGAGGTAGTCGTCCCCTCCGCGCGGCGTCACGTCGACACGCAACGGTTCAGGAGGGTCGGCTCTGACCAGCTGCAACGGCGTCAGGTATTCGTCGTGGCCTGCAATCCGAGTGACTGGCTCCGCAGCGCTCTGATAGTAAAAGACACAGCCGTACTGGGTTTCAGGCGCCCAGTCTGTGCAGTGCCTAACGATGTCCGACAAGCCAAGGGTCTCGTGGGGAACGGCGGCGATGAACTGCTCTTGAATCGCCATAAGCATGTCGATAATCTTTTCAGGATTCTGGCAATTAATTCGTGCGGGAATAATGTTTAGACATGGCCCAATTACTCTGTAGTGATTTCTTTCAACAGCTAGTGCACGTCCCGAGACTCCGCGGCCAAGAATGATCTCATCTTGACCGCTCACGGAAGCCATCGAGACGGCCAACGCTCCGATGAAAAAAGTCGCAGCTGTCACCTTCTTGGGGAAGCAGCGAGCTACCACTTGATGCTCGAGGCGGCAGCGGTCGGTGTTAGTGGCAAGGACATCAGCGCCATTCGGGGAGAGACTGGTCGGTGGCGGACTTCCTTTCAAGACTGATCTCCAGAAAGTGAGACCACATGTAGTCTTGGCTTGCGACATGGTATCTTTGAGGTAGCTGAAGAAGGAGCTCATCTGAGGCAAAGGGCGCCTGTCGTGAAGAGCTCCAATACACTCTGCCAAGTATGGCAAACTTATGCCATCGTAGCAGGCATGTGATAAGCCAATGACGAGACAAGCTTCCGCTGCGTCCTGGCGCCGGACTATGAAGAATTTGATAAAGGGCAATGCTGGGTTAAGACGCTCAGTGAGATCTTGTTGGCATATGGTTTTGCAAGCTGCATCTAGCGAACCCGTCACCCGACTGACGCTCACATGCGGTTCAACACGATCAAGAAGCATTTGGAAATAGCCACCTTGATGCCGCAGAAAAATAGTTCGAAAGATGTCTATTCGCTCGACCAGTGCATGGCATATTCGACGGATTTGATCTTCATTTACCGGCTCCGGGTCCTCCAAGTCCTGAAATTTTAGAGCAAAATAGTTCCATTCGGTTCGTGGCATGGCGAGGTTGCATCTGATAGCATACGCTTGGAAGTCGGTCACGGGCAAGATGTCTCCGATGTGCTGCGCATCCGCATGCAGCATTTTAGAGACCTCAGAGGGTTTGGGTAGCCAAGGACCTCCATCAAACCGTGGTTCATGCTTCATATCGACGAGGTCGCCGTTTGATGAGGCTTCGTTTGAGACCTTGTCCATCTCCGCCCTCTTGGCCATGTCTTCGAGGTTGGGGTTCTGAAAGATCATCACGACTGATAGAGTCAACTGAAAGTTGCGAGCTATTCCAACCAGATGTATGGCTGTCAGCGAGTCTCCCCCCAGTTCGAAAAAGCTATCCTGCCGGCTGATTGCCTGCGGTGAGATACCCAAAGCTTGAGCCCACGAATGCGCCATCTTGCGCTCTATATCCGTGCTTGGCTCGGCGCCGGGGACTTTGCTGCGCAGGCTTTCTGCCTGTTTCTGGCATCCTATTTGTCGCAGTACCCTGCGATCAATTTTGCCCGATCTCGTAAAAGGTATTTGCTCTAAGAGAATGAACCCAGATGGTATCATATATCTTGGCAGTATGGTACTGAGTCTTTTTATGAGACCTCGAATCAGAGGAGCCGCCTCCTCTCTACCGATAGTGAGGCTTTTGTGAATATTACCAGCGATGAACAACATAAGGCTCTGGGATTTTATCTCCGGTGTTCCTCGATAGTCTTCTATCACGTCCACCGCAACCTGGAGATCGGGATCAAGAAGGTCACGTACATGCGTTTCAACCTCTTCTAACTCGACACGCTGCCCGCGAATCTTGATCTGAGAGTCTTTCCTGCCCAAAAAGTGAAGTCGTCCACGAGAATCGGTCCTGACGAGATCACCAGTACGGTATAGTAGCCCTCTCCGCCCCGAATTTGGGGTAGTATCGCTTCCTCGCAGCAGCCACTCTGGATCAGAGAGAAAAGACTCAGAATTTTCCCTTGGCGAGTTAATGTATCCTTGACCAACAAGGGGACCTTCAACAACAAGCTCTCCCTCCCCCCCAACAGGGGCAAGAGTATCTGGTTGAACAGAGCTCAGGATCCAAGCATTGACCCCGTAAGGAAGTCCCAGGTTTACTTTATCGAGGAAATCTTTTCCATATGTGGCGATCATGGTTGTGGGTGTGCATTCACAGGGCCCATACGCAATCCGAACTTCGACCGCTGGTCCCCATCTTGTAACGTCATGCATACTGCAGGCCTCTCCTGAAAGCATGACGATTTCAATGCCGGATATTGAAGATGGTTCCAGTGTCCGGGCTAGAGATGGTGTCATCTGAAGGAAATTCGCGCCGAGACGGGTGATTGCTGTAGCAATATCGTCAACACAGTCATGGTCTGTCGGTATGCAGATGCAACCACCAGCGTATATTGTTTGAAAGAAATGTTCCCAACAGACGTCAAAAGCATAAGAAGACAAATCAAGTACACGAGCAGCCCCTTTGAAGCCCAATGCCTTGTTCTGGTGAATAATTGCACTGCAACAATTCTTATGGGATATAGCAGCCGCTTTAGGAACTCCTGTGCTACCGGATGTGAAGATAATGTAAGCTGAATCTGTGGGGCTTGATGGGGGAATCCAAGAATCGTCATCATTTCTGAGCTTCCACGCTGACGATGGGTATGATAAGTCATTATCAATAACCACGATATGACTGGCAATTTGTTCCGCCACCGTCCCGGTGCCGGTCGTTGTCAATATTAAACACGCTCCAGCCTGCTTAGTGATTATCTTGAGGCGTCCCGCCTCTTGTGACGGATCTATCATCATCGCAGTGCCCCCGGAAATAAGAACAGCAAGCATGGCCACTGGAGTCCAGACAGATTTGACCGAGCATATGGCAACCACAATGCCAGGACTAACACCGTGACAAACTACCAGAGTATAAGCCAGTCGTCGTGCTTTCTTAGAAAGATCCTTGTTCGAGAGTTCGCCGTCCCATGCACACACAGCCGCCGTGAGTCCCTGGTTTGATATACAATCAACCAGCATATTGCCCAGATGGTTGTTGCATGTGGGGGGCACGCTCAGATTCGATTGCCAGAGTGTCTCACGATCTTGCCGGGTCAACATGTCTATCTTTGCTAGAGTCATCTTGTCTGTGCCGCTGTGCTCACATAGTTGTCTCAGAACATGCTCGGTCAGGCATGCTATACGCTGCACTTGTGCCAGTTCTAGGATCTTTGAGTCGTAAGTCATCTTGAGTGCCACTCCCGCCTGATTGGACCGAGGTTCATTATCTACTGCGAACTCGATTGTGATGGCAGTGCTGTCTCCCTGTTCGATATCTTCGCCAAGTTGCAATCCAATCATCTGGTCATCTAAGACCGCGTAGCCGGATGGGTGGACTATCACCAGTGACTGAAACTGTGTTGCCACTTTTGTGTCACCATTAAGGCGGCGGATACGGCCAAGGCCATATTGCTCTGCGGGTATCATCATCGCAGCGTGTGATTGAATGTCCTGCAGTAAAGCTCTTGGGCTGTCAGGCCAGTTTATACGAACCCGAATAGGGATTGTGGCAATGGTAGGCCCGGCAATCGTCTCAGAATTAGGCACCGGTCCCTGCCGGCCCATCACTGTCATGCCAAATAACACATCATCGCAATTTGTGTACAGAGATACGACCAGCGCCCACGAAGCCTTCAAAACAGTCGTTGGAGTGTTGTTCACTGGCCATGGTACACTGCTGATAGAGTGATTATGGTATGCATCCGTTGTAGGTTGATAACCCTGACTGGGCAGAACTGGAAACTGACGGGCACTGAGACCAGACAAGTACTCGGTCCAAAAACTTTTGGCAAAATCATGATCAAAATCCTCCACCAAGTATCGTATAAATTCATTATACGGACTCAATTTTCCCTGAAATGTTCCAGTCAAGTAGATGGATTCAACAGCCCTCAGAATGAGTGACATACTCCATCTGTCGTATATTGCATGATGAGCTGTGAGCAGGAGGCCAGGGCCTAAACACCGTCTCTCACCCATCGATTTGATGATACATAGCCGGATGAGTGGCCGCCCCAGCCCCATAGAATTCTCTGGAACGTCGTCAATTGTATCACAACTTAACCAATCTATTGCTTTGTTGACTTCCACCTGCAGAAGACCGGACCCCGGCCAGTCGATTATACGAGTTCGCAGTATGGGGTTGAGAGTCGCAACCTGGTGCCATGCTCGCTGAAGACGGCCGATGTCCACTGATTTAGACAATTGGACTAGACCTTGGGAGACGTAGTCCCCACCACGCTGTATCGTACGAGTCATCATGCTCTCTTGCAGAGGAGAACATGGGTATGCGTCCTCAATATCCGTACGATCGACATTGCACATCAGTGCTAAGCCCGCCGGGTCTGGAGACGGTTTGAGGAGTGAAAAGGGTTTTGGTGTTTGGTTTTCCGCTGAAATGTCCACGTTGAGATTCGCAGAGGCTGCCATGTCCGCCAAAGCAGGCTTTTCAAGAATTTGCGCAACTGATGTGGAATATCCTGACTTCCTTGCAGCTGCAACCAACTTCATTGCAGCAAGAGAATCTCCCCCAAGAAAAATGAATGAGCTATTCCTATGCACTGAAGTCATGGGAATATTGAGTGAATCGGCCCAAAGGCGTCGGAAGACTGCTTCTGCATCCGTCATCTCACCCTCAACCTGTCCTTCCAGCTGGCACGGCACTGGAGGTACCCATGAGAAGGTCCTGAATTGATGTAGATCAAATTTCTCCGCCCATTTCTTTAAAGAGATTCGATCCAGTTGTCCATTTGAAGACCTTGGGAGCTGTTCTAGCGTCAGATAATGGTTAGGAATATTATAACGAGGCAGATGTCGTGCCTGGTCGCAGTATACAGCAGAGATCCTCTCGAGCACTCCCTTGCCTCCTGTATGTGCCTCAAAGAAAGCAACAACTGGATTAGGGCTCAAAGGCAAATCGATTTTAGTAACAGCCACATCTGAGATCTCAGGAGGCAGGCTGCCTCTGATGGAATTCTCGATCTCTTCCATTTGCGCACTGGTGTTTGGCTGTTCCAACACTGCACTATGACTCCCGGACATTGCAATAGCCATGGCATCGCTAACGTACGAGTGGCAGTCTATAATAAGAATGCCTAAAACTCCCTCTAGTTGTTTCATCATCGAGCGCACCTGTTCACCGCTCAAAATATTTTGGTCGAAGCTTGCCCTCATGCGAACACCGCAATCCTTACCGAGCGAGCATTCAAGCATTAGCGCATACGTATTAAAGGCCGTAATATCTTCACTGCCACTAGAAAGGCTCAGAAAACTTCTATCAGTATCCTCCACTGGAGGCTGAACTACAAGGAAGGTTCTGAAGTCAGTTGCCATTCGAGCCTTATGACTCAATCTTTTCATGTTCCTGATACCAAAATGGGAGAAATCAATCATTTCAACCATTTGCATTTGTATGGTCTGGAGAAATTCCACCACTTTCATTGAATTTTTGACCTGAATGCATATTGGTACGGCTGCTATGGTTGGGCCACCAATTCTCTCGACTCCAGTCAAAGGGATTTGTCTCCCTAATACAGTGGTTCCAAACACGACGGATGATGACCCGGAGTACGACGCGAGGAGAATGGACCATGCCGCTTGTATGAATGTGCTTGGGGTAACATTGCTCGCCTTATTCCACGGTATAAGAGGAATACAGTGATCACACAAAGCCCCCGGTGACGGCTTGTACTCCAGACTGGGATAGACAGGGAATGGCTTGATCCTGGTGTTGTTTAGTTGACTGAGCCAAAAGTCGGCGGATTTTTTGTGTTCATTGGATATGAGATACTGAATAAAGTTGCGGTAAGGTAACAACGGGGCGTCATAGTCACCTTCATATGACTTTTTCATGCCTTGCATTAGTAGATTCAGAAACCAGCCATCGTAAATTGCATGATGCATTACAAGGACAACACAGTGTTCTTTTTTTGCTGTAGACCCCGGCAAGTCGGGCTTGACCACGCCGAGCCGGAAGAGAGCATCGCCAAGCTCCATGGCTTTATTTTTCTCAGACACTAAACATGCTTCCAAAGTCATGTACCACGAAAGTGGAACCGGCTCATCAATGACGTCCTGAACGAGGGTAGAAGGGCCATGTTCGCCTCCAAAGCCAACGTCGAGGATACGAGTACGAAGTATAGGTAACTGGACGGCAACTTGTTGCAAGGCATCGAGTAGTCTGGAAAGCACTATGTTATCCGGCAGACGCAGGACCTCGTGGGTGATAAAGTCCCTTGGTCGCATTGCCGCAAGAGCCATCATTTCTTCTTGTATGGGAGAGCAAAGATATGCATCTTGGATTTGACTCGCTCCGCATCCGGTCATTTTTGAGATTTCCGCTCGCAATATCTCAACTTCGTTTGAAGTACCGGCCAACATGGAGAAAGGGTTGAGGTCAAGCAGCTGTGCTTGCGGCTGTTCAGCTTTTGTGCCAGCCTGTGCAGCGAGGTCGACAAGTTTCGGATGACGGAAAACATCTGCTACAGTCAAATCCATCATTCCTTGCTTATGGGCTAATGATATGAGTTTCACAGCAGCCAAAGAGTCACCCTTTGCAAAAAAATTGTCGTGGAGTTGGACTGAGGATTCATCGGCATGGAGGGCAGCGGCCCATACTTGTCGGAGTCTCAGCTCATGATCTGACATCTCGCGAACAGCGCCCATACTATCCTCTACTTGCTTTCCAGTAACAGCTTCCAGGAGCTCATCAGGAGCTCCGAGGGCAAGGTTTCTCAAGGCCCTGCGATTCTTTTTCCCAGAAGCGGTCATTGGAATATGCTGAAGAGGAAAGTACGCCGAAGGAATCATGTACCTGGGAAGATGAGAAGCAAGAGCAGAGTTTCCCTGGGTTATTAGGTCTCGGAGTCGCTGTCTCGCAGCAAACTGTTCCCCGTTTTGTACCACGAAGGCAACGAGCTGCTTGACGCCAGATGGCCAGTGGATGGCTTCAACCACAGGAGACGAATCGTGAGGCCAGTATTGTCCGAGCCAGTGCTCGATCTCACTAACTTCGACTCTCTGTCCATTGATCTTGATTTGAGTGTCAGATCTTCCGATGTAAGATATTGTTCCATTCCCGTTATACCGTGCCAGATCTCCGGTGCGGAATAGCTTAGCCTGGGGTGCCCGGGTTACTCCAGCCAGATAGCCAGTGTCTGGAGGATCGATGAGAGATCCATAGCTATTGTTTTCGTCACCGAGGTATCCTAGGCCAATGAGTGGTCCTTCGATTACAAGCTCACCAATTGCACCAATGGGTGCCAATCTGTTGATGTTGTTGACATCTGCGATCCAGAGAGTCGCACCGATTCCTTGTCCAATGCTATCCAAATTTTCGATGCCATCCACATTCAGATTGGCGGCACACATGATGGTGCATTCTGTCGGCCCATACGCGTTTATCAGACGTGTTCTTGCAGAACAAATCCAGGCCCCGAGGACGGTTTGACCCAGCTTCTCGCCTGTCAGAATGAGCGTTTGGAGATGGGGAAGGCTGGCAGGGTCCAGCACTTGGGCCAAGGATGGTGTAAGTTGCACCAAAGTGATTCGCTGATCTTGCAAAACAGATTGGAGGCGGTTCATTCGGTCTACATCGGTGCACACGCAGAGACAGCCAGCGGAAAGCAAGGTGTAAAAAGTGTTGAAAACATATGCGTCGAAGCTATACGACGATGAGTCCAGAGTACGTGCATCGGTAAAACCGAGTTCTCTAGCTTGGTACGTTACCGCAGAGCAAAGGTTCCTATGGGAGATTTGTACGCCCTTAGGTTGTCCGGTACTCCCGGACGTGAAGACAATATATAATGTTTGTGCTGGGTTCACATTCGCGATGACGCTTGGAGGGGACAACGCTTTCGAGCAGACATGGCCGCGTAGTAGAGCGTCGTCTACCACAACAACCCTTGCCGCCAGCGACTGAGCCCTTGCAAGAGTCTCCGGCCGGGCCAGAATGCATGAGACTCCCAATTGGTCTATGATGCTCTTGATCCTCTCTGTGGGCTGCTGTGGATCGAGCAAGACAAAGATGGAGCCAGCCTTGGCCACTGCCAAGATTGTGATTGTCGTCCATACGGTCTTCTCAAAGTACAAAGGAACGACCTGCCCGGCAACGGCAATATTCCTTGTCGAAAGTAGGAGCCCCAGGGCTGAAGATTTTTCATCTAGTTGCGAGTAACTAAGAGCTCCGTCCCATGCGTCAACTGCGATACGATGCGGATGCACTTTGACAATTTCAAGAAACATGTCTTGCACAAGACAGTCTATGGTCCGGGATACTGACGCGTTCCATTTCCAGATCTGAGACTTGTCCTGGAAGCACACCAGGCCCAAGTCGGACAGTTTTTGTTGTGAGAATAAAGGCATCTCATCCTTCTGCCCGGAAGCACAGAGTTGACGTGCTATGTGCTCAAATTGCAAGGCGACACGGTCTAGTGAAATAACATCATCTTGGCACCGATTCGCATGGCAGCGAAGTGTGATCCTTTGCCCCCCTGATCGAACACACTCCACAACAAATTCGTCGCGGTTCCATAAGGTTTGGTGTTCTTCGCCAATGGTTGAGTTCATGGATCCGTCTAGTACTACAAAAGTCGTCCCGAACTCAAGTTCTTGTAATTTGCATGGACCACCACAGCCATCGCCGGCTTTTTTGACATTGTCGCAAAATTCACCCAGCTCTTCAGTGCGTAGCATGGAGTCCGATATTGAGCTGAGATAATCGGAAACAGTCGACTGCCAGTTCACCATGACATGGCAAGGGCGAAGAACTATATCCGCTGCCATCATCGGCGTCTCTGTCATCAATAATGTGTTCGTATTGAGTATGACATTGGAGGAGTGGGTGTACTCTGCCATAAGCAGTATCCAAGCGGCACGAAGTCCAACCGGGACAATTGCCGAATCATTGTCGCATGCCTCGACATTGATTCCGGTTATTTCATGTACTACTACTTTAGCCGGCTGTTTTTGCCCCGTTGAATACTGCGCGCTGATGAGATTGGCAGGGTCCCTGTCAGCAAAACAATTCTGCGATACAGCTTCCATTTGGCTCACGATGTCCAGTAAGTTTGCGACGAGATATTGGTTGGGCTCTTTTTAGTCAAATTCGGTGGCACAAGATTCGGGAAGATGTCAAAAATAGACAAATATGTTCTTCTCTTGTACCTGGGTGGATTTCTGTTTGAGTACATTGATTGCTCTCGACATATGCCTCTGTTGGATGCATCTACCCTTAGTGATGTGCGTATGTCAACGTAGTGCGAGAAAAGTCAAAGATTCTGACGCTTGTTCGAGTCAATCCTGGTACTACTGTTTGACGCATGGTGACAGCTTGAGCACGGCAGGTGAGACAAAGTGCTGCAAGGTGACATGCATTAGCTTAGGTCGCATCATGGGCATGCCACACGCAGATCAATCTCCATTTCGTCCACCAAACCTCGGTTGAGCTGCGGGCCGTCGTTATCAAGTAACTCGAATTCTAGGTCGAACCAGGTTATGCGTGCGCGCGTGACCGAGATATCAGGGTTAAAGTAGTATCGAAGTCGTCGTTAGCCAGGGTTAGCTATTGGTATCGTGCCCCCTGTTATGTTGTTTAGCCGGCTCGCTTCCCCTTTTCTGGGCCCCACTCTATTAGCTGCAACCAATCAGGGTGCATGCAGGGGCGGATACTAATTCCAACACAAATGGTTATGTTGCAAGTTCATCAATTCATAGCAGATACGTCAGCGTTGGTATGGCATCTGATACAAAATTATTAAGCAAAGCGCCGCTTTGCTTGAGGTTTGCGTCATTACAAAGGGCAGGCAAGTAAGGGAGCGGAGCTACCTAATTTGCTTCTTTAATAAGTGGTTACTATGCTACGCTACCACAATTACAGGCCATATATAGTTTGAACTTACATATGTAAGCTGTGATTAGTTTAGAGGGCCTTAAATTGCTATAATTGGCTCAAATTTAAAGGCCGGTACGTCCCTTTATAGTAGATTATTACTTGCGGACCTGCCCTAATTCGATAGCAGCTTCAAAAGCCCTCGAATTCAGCAGCCCCAAAAGCCTCAAATTTGACCCGCCCGGCTCACCGCTTTGCTTACATTCATGACAAGGGCTTACGTTGTCATAAAACCTACGTATTAACTAGAAGAGGGACAAAATAGCGAAAAGAGGAAAGAAAGACACCAGCCGCGGTGCTCCACTTGGTCACAATAGTAAAGTGAGTGCAAGTCCCTGCTTGTTCTAGAATCTAGACGGAGTTACTTTGGCACCTAACACTACAGTCTCGACTCAAAACGACAGCAGAGTCTGCGGGCCGGAAATTGGCTCCCACAGGCGCTTCATAAAGAAGAAGAAAAAGATTTCAGTCTACAGTTTCGCGGTAGACTTCAATAGCGCCTTGGGCCGCCGCATCATATCCCGATGGGGGATACAGGCGTTGATGCCAAACGGCCTCAAGTCCAAAACCGTCTCATTCATCACTTCAAATCCCAATTTTTGATACAGCCTCCAACCCATATCCGAGGCCTGCATCGCAGATATGATACCTCTCTCATCAGCAACCTTCACAGCATGTTTAATCAATAGGCTAAGTGCACCACGCCGCCAGTACGCTGGGAGCGTCATTCCAACCTCGAAAAGAAGGTAGGGCTCATTAGGGAAGTGCTTCTTCCTGAATAGAGCTGCAAGTCGATTCAGCTCCCTCCCAACTGCAGTCTCTGAAAATGCGCTCATTCTTTCTTCATCAATCCTCGTCAGGTCGCGGCTGGTCGCACCTTGTTGGCTCGGCCTAGATGCTGCAATACGGGTTGAACCTCTAGTCTCGCATCCTTTCTCGTCAGAATCAGTGTTGCCGCTGTAACCATCTCGTGTCTCAATTCGCCACACGATGAACGATACAATTCCATGATACTTGTCGCATTCTGATGGGATGCCTGTGTCCGTGACCCTGTAGAAGGACGTGTTGTCTTCTGCGCGACGACGAAATGCTGTGCGAACAACATCTCCCATACGCTTCAGATACTCCTCTTCTGAGACTTCTCGATTGGCCTCGAAATTAGCTAGTCTTCGCCTAGCGATGGAAAGGGGATGTAGCGGGCTCTGAGCCACGGCTGCATGCTCGATCGCTACTATGATCGGGATATCATCTTCAACGACGGGTGAGACGACTAGAGGCATAGTTGGATTTATTTCAGAGTGAAGCAGATCTGTTTTTTTCGGGGATTCGTAGGATCAGGAAGTCAAAGTTGAAACCTTACACGAGTAGGAGTCAACGGATACTCCTGCGGCATCATAAGCTTCTCTAGTACCACATGCAAGCAGGCTCCGCAAGCCTAACACCATGAAGCCAAGATGATGGCCGTCAAAGTCGCCGAATTGAGACTGGATGTGGCGTGGTCAGGAGACAAAAATCGGTGACTATGCATGCAATGAGTGACCTTGCATATCGACGGAGTGACCTTGCATTCTCTTTCCTAAATAAGTCAAAGCTTCCGATGTGCAAAGCGTTGGTTGTCCTTGGGTTTATGTTTTCTGGTGGAGTTCATGTCCGTTACTGGAAAATTGCAGCAGCGCTTCGACGGTTCGTACGGTTCAAGGTTGTTGTTGGTGGAATGGTCTAGTCAATGCAATCAGAGCATTCAGGTACCCAATTTGATTATTTGTTCATGTCGTGTCGCCCCTTTGAAGGTATTATTTGGCAACACTTCGCTAAGCATAAAACACAAATCACAAATCACAAGCAGTACCCGAGCCCTGATAGAGTTGTTGCTTTCCTCGAATTCTTAATCGAAACCATGTCTGTCTATTTGAATAGCCATTTCGAATTGGCTTCGAGGCTGTTTGAGGATACTGAGGCGTACAAGCCGGGTCAGAAAGTCATTATAACAGGACAGGATTTGGAGGTCTCAACTGTAGTGGCTGTCTCGAGGTAATTTGGTGTCCCGAATTCCCCCTCAAGGAAATTCCGCGTTATTCATGTGCTATTTGGTAGAGGGCGATGCCAGCCACAGCTCACCAAGGACGAAACAACTTCACGGCGCATCCGCGCAAGCGTGTCTCGGCTTGCCGAGTATCTTGGTAGTGGAAACACTGTGTACGGTACAGTCACAAATTCTCAACGCCCTGAATTTGATCATCGTCAGGTTAACATCCTACAGGGGTAACGACTGGCTTCGGTGGAAGCGCCGACTCACGCACAACAGAAACGGGCAAGTTACAGTTGGCTCTGCTGCAACTGACTCAAAATGGTGTCCTTCGCGAGTCAGATAAGACGGCTGATAATGCAAACGGGAACTTTGAGCACCATACGGAAATAAGCTGTTATCCAACCGCTTGGGTGCGTGCTTCCATGTTTGTCAGATGCAACGCAACTGCCCGTGGCCATTCTGCCGTCACGTTGGAAGTGCTGCAGGCCATTCTCCGTCTCCTACGACATGATGTAGTTCCAATCATCCCCCTGAGGGGAACAGTCTCGGCATCTGGCGACCTGATGCCACTCTCATACATCGCCGGCGCAATCGAAGGCAATCCCGATGTTGTTGTTCGCACAACGCTTGGCACAAAGTCTATCATTCAAAGTGCCAGCGAGGCGCTTGAGCGTGAGAATATCCAGAAAATCATCTTTGGTCCAAAAGAGGCCGTGGGTCTTGTCAACGGCACGGCTCCCTCGGCGGCGGTGGCAGCGCTGGTCATGTACGAGGCACATCATTTGGCCACGCTGACGCAAGCCATCACGGCTATGACAGTCGACGCCATGACGGCGAATGCGGAGAGCTTTCACCCTTTCATCGCGCTTGTCCGGCCACATGCTGGCCAAATAGAGGCCAGCAAAAACATCCTTGCGTTCCTGCAGGACTCATCTTTTGCCAAGGGAATCAAAACCGTAAAAGAGTCTAACCCAAGCGGCCTTGCGCAAGACCGTTACGCTCTTCGCAGCTCCCCTCAATGGATCGGGCCGCAGCTAGAGGATCTTCTTTCTGCGCATAAGCAGATCACAACCGAGTTGAACTCTTCGGCCGACAACCCTCTGGTAGATGGCGATTCGGGGGATGTGTACTATGGTGCGAATTTCCAGGCCGCAGCAGTAACTTCTGCCATGGAGAAGACCAGAATAGCACTGCAGATGCTGGGTCGATTACTTTTCGCGCAGTCTACTGAGTTAATCGACCCGAACCTTAATGGCTTGCCCGCGAACCTGGCCGCGGACGACCCAAGCACCTCATTCACCATGAAAGGGGTTGATATAAGCATGGCTGCATACGCCTCGGAGCTGTGTTATCTTGCGAACCCTGTGAGCTCGCATGTGCACACGGCAGAGATGCACAACCAGTCTATCAACTCATTGGCCTTTTTGTCCGCCCGTATGACCAAGAAAGCAGCAGAATTGCTTTCCCTAATGGCTGCAACATGTTTGTACATTGTTTGTCAGGCCATGGATCTACGGGCTTTCCAATCTGAGTTTCTCTCCGAGCTCCAGGTTGCAATTGACACTTTAAGCAAGGAGGTGCTTGCAGAACATATAGAGCAACCAGATCTGCTCGAGCTTAATCTTGCCTTGAGGCGATGCATAGAATCATCGTGGAAGGATGCATCGCGATTGGACGTTCCGGACCGTGCTAAAGCTGTCGGCGACGCAACAACGCTGGAACTTATAAAAGCCATCACTCTAAACCAATCATCGTCTTCAAAATTTGCATCACTCTGCATCATTGAATCGTGGCGACATGAGGTTGAAAACATAACAATGCGCGTGTATGGCATCGTCAAACGGAAATTCTTTGCGTGCCCTACCACTGAGAAATACATTGGAATTGGTCCCCGAGCACTCTACATGAAAATTAGGCATGACCTTGGCGTGCCGTTCCATCAGGGACTAGTCGAACACCCCGTCTCCCAGGGGAAGGACGAAAGGATCCAGGGCAAAACCGCAAGACCTCGAAAAACAATAGGCTCGTGGGTATCGATTATTTATGAAGCCTTGTTAGAAGGCAAGATCTATGATGCAATATACCGTTGCTTGCCCCGCGAAGCGGAAAACGCCGCCAGCAATGTAAGCATCACTAATGCGGACCACACGACTGATTGCTGTCGAAATACTGAAAAAATGCGAGCAGGGCGGAGTATCAGCTAGCGATATCATCTCAAACACACGCCCACGTTCTATCGAGAGCGCCGCACCAAGCTCAAGTCTATATGAAACATCGAGTATTCGAAAGAGGAAGCTGTCCCAGGACCATCTCGCGTGCGCAAGAAGCCAAGAACATCGCCCGATACGCTATCGACTTAATCTAGTGGATTCTAGTAATGATACAACAAACTCGGCGAGTATGGAATAAAACTAAATCCTTCTAATTACTTAAGGGAATTGCTAGACGGGCATGACACTTTGGCTACACGGGCATGACTCTTACATGGGTATGATTTTTACTACTTTTAATTAGTTATATTATTCCTATTAATAAATATAGGATTTTATTACCTTAGCTATAAGTACCTAGGCTATTTTACCTTACCTTTATATAAATTAGTTTATTTTACCTAAGCTATTATATAATAATTATATAATTATATAATTAATATAAGTTTAAGGCTTATTTTCTTTTTTTTCTTAGGTTTTAAATAAATTATAATATAATACTTTATATTAAAAAAAAAGTAATTAATTTTTTTATATATAAAATATAATAATAGCTTAGTTAATAAGGTATATTTAGTTTTTTATTAATTAAAGATTAATTATACTTTATAAGTAGCTTTATAATAAGTATTAATTAGTTTTATAAACTTAAAAATAAAAATATACTTAATAACTTATTTACTTTTTTCTTATAAATACTTTTAAATTTTTTATACTTTTATAGCTTATAAAGCTTTTATAAGCTTATATAAGGCTTTTAATTTAATTATAAAATATATTTTTAAAATAACTTTATTTATAAAACTAAATAAAGCTAATATATTAAAGTGCTTATATTTAGCTTAAAAAAGGATTTATTTACTCTTAAATCTCTTAAATTACCCTTATTTATATAATAACTTTTAATAAGAATAAAACCTAAGTTTAAATTTATAATAAGTATAATATAAAAGATTATTAATAAAAGCTAAAAGTTAATTATAAATTTTATTTAATTATATAAATAAGTATAAGCTTAATAAAAGAAATAAAAGTAATTACCTTTAAGTTTTAAATTATATAATTTTTTTTTATTATACTTTTTACCTTATATATTATTTATATAATCTTTTTAAATATTATTAACTCTTAAGAATATTAATTTATTACTTATATAATAATTTTTATTTCTTATTTTAAAGCTAATTTTTAACTTATTAATTCTAAGTAATATAATATTTTTAGTTAAAACCCTTTTTAAAATAATAAATATATTTATAAAAAAAAATAAGTTTAATATTATTTAATAAAATAAGTACTTTTATAAAAAATAATTAATTAAAT